TTCATGTTACAAAAAATAGGTTATACTTTGTGGATAGTTAAAATTATAATAACGTTCATAAGGATAAGTTACTCCCTCCCATTATAATCTTATTTGTTTCTCAGATATTTTGTTAGTTTCAGAAGACATCAACCTAATATAAAGTCGTAACTGTAATATTACAATATGTGGTTAAAAATCTCTATTAAAGAAATTTCAACACATATAGAATGTTTATAAGGTTATAATCGACTACTATACAGTACTATATATCTATGATAGTAATCTAAATAGATTATCTACTTACGATAATTTGATCACAGGAAATAAAAAATTTCATACAAAATTTTGATACCAGCTTTTTATCAATTTTATCTGAGGATGAGTGCATCAGTACCGAATTTTCCAACATCATCTATCCACGTGTACTAATATTTATATTAGTACATTTACTCTGTGTGTATACTAATTGTACTACTTAACTTGACACCTGAAAGCCTACCCTATTTCTCTGAAAACGTAATGTCGTCTAATTTCGAAATGATAATACGGCTCCGATGAAATGATAATTTTTGATGCAGATGAGCCAGCCCCCTTACTCTCGAACGTAATCGCGTCCGATCAGATGCATTTTAACAAAATTCATTGATTATTAATGATAATATAAAATTATTAATGATTCGGAAATTTTCGAGTTTTCTTTCGATAACAAATAGAATAAGCCCTCAGCCGTCACATTAATTCGTACGTAGAACGATGGTAATTAGTGCAATCACTATGAGATACGTGACGTGTCCTGCACTTCTATTTCAACAAGTTTTACGCAACAGCCACAACAATTGCAAATGATCTGACAGTCACGCTAGTTGTCATTAAATCCCCAGTAAATTTCCTTTTGTAGTATTATCAACCAATGATAAACAGGTTCATAAAAATATTCTTTTATAAGTGTAATAAAAAGTTCATATATCTATCAACTTATCGTAAATAAAGTGAGCATCAAAATCGCGAGATCAAATTCTCATACGAATCATTTTTATAGTTGCACGAGTGATAAACAAAATACTTTTGTTTTTTTAATACATACTATAGGCAAGGTTTATCCAGACCTTATTATAAATATTTAGTGAGATTTAGTTTCTTTGGGAGCAATAGAAAATTCCAAATTATTGTGAAAAATTGAGTTGCAAAAATTTTGATCCATCAGTTTTCGTAATCGATTGAAAACACCAGTCAATTAGATTCCTTTATAAAAATTCGACAATTGCAATATATCTGTACTTATTAGGAATTAAATTTAGTTTCTTTTTTATTGAAGGATTTGAAAATGTATGAAAAGATTGATGCATATGTAAGAAGCAAGACGTATATCTGGATCGTGCAAAATGGTAGGAAGTGGTCTCTGCCTACTCCGCCGGGAAAACAGCGTGACAATATAGATAGATATATAGATATGATACAGCGCTATATACAATAGTAATTTAATCCTATCAAGTGCAAAACGCTCACTCATCGTATTATGGTAATTATCAAGGAAGCGCCAGATAATGCTAATTTAAATGACATAATACATCTTCTCTAATAACCGGGCATCGAATGATTTATAAGAAATAATAACAAGCAAATATTTGATGTTATTAAAAAATACAGCGGGCTTTAATGCTTTACTTAAAAGTTTCTGATAAAAAAATATTGAGAACATATTAATCTCTATATCTACTTATTTATCAATAAAACTATTTGTTTTTTAATTTAAACCAAACTACATCAAAAAGATATTTCAAATAAAAAAAATATTGGAACTGAATTATAGGTCTATTATATTAAAAAAAATATTTTTGTTTCAAACGCTATACAAAAAGATTCGTCCATGATTTTATGAGTAAAAAAACTCCACCGCCGTTGATGTCTTTTTCAGCGTACAAAGCACAAACAAATATATAAAATAATTTAAAAAAGACCTCAAAGTAATTAAAAGTATATAGATATTTTATTATTTAAAAGAGTTCGCTCTGATTTCTATACTCGCTATATTATTTACTAGCTGTAACCCGCGCCTTCGCCCAGGTAGTCCGTGGGGTAGATACGAGATGGAACCAATCATGGAAAATCTACCTGTGTTTCTATGTAAAACGTGCATGGCTTCATAGAATAGTCTCGCTTCTATTCCTTCCATTTGAGTGAGCAGTAGATCTCCAACACGACACATAAAAAAATACAAACAAATATTTTCTTTGTATAAATAGTCCTTTTATTAAAATCGTTTAAAATTATTCTGGACTTTCGGATAAAGGCTTTCATTCAGCCTGATGCTTTGCTTGTACGTGATTCTACAACTGATCCTCTTAACAACTTGGCGGTCAACTTGCTCTTACTTTCTTAATTCAGCATTTTCTGAGATTTTAGTGCGTGACGCCAAATTAAAGTTCGTCAACGGTTATTCTGCAATCTCTTCAATTTGTAGATATCGAACGAATATAGTTTAGTCGCCTTAGTATTTTTTCCCCTAGTTTATTATTTAACTCTGATACTTGGAATTTTAGTTGCTATTTTAAATAAAACTTATTCCTACCATTAGAAGCTAATAAACAACTATTTTATGATTTTTATTCATAGACAAATGGCGGCAGTTTCGTACATTTTTCGCAAACATAATTTAAGGCCCCCTCGGTTAAGTATTAAAGTATCTCGTTAATATAGTTACCTATATATTATTTTGTCGTCTGATAAATAATTATTCATTAAAATGTATTATTAAAAAAAAGTCATACTCGTGCACTTCATTCACTTCAAGTTCATTTTATATAAATACTACTGTCGTCTCATTTGAGTTTCTAACAACAACCGTTCAGACGGTAGAGGGGAAGGGGGTCCACAATTTGACTCTAACGAAAATTGACACTAAATCTAAAAACGGTCTTTCCACACCCCTTATATTTCTGAAACAGATATCTAACAATACTCCACGCTACGGGAAGAAAAATGTTTCATCCCCAACTATACATGTAGGAGAGGTAACGGAAAAAAAAATCTTTCAAGATTTTATTTTACCACTTTCTCGGCGTGAGACTCATGCTAAATTACACTTTTCTAATATCAATCCTTTGAGCTAAACCGCGGACAGACGGACATGACGAAACTATAAGGTTCCTAGTTTACTACGGAACCCTAAACACCACAAAATTGAAAATGAAAGTGACTTTGTTAGATTAACATCGAAAATATACTAAGGACAAAACATATTAAAAAAAAAATTCGTTTTAAAATTACAGTAGCATCATCTAGCGAAAACAGCTAAATGTAAAATTTTATTTGTCGCCCTATTAATAAGTCCTCATTAAATTATAGTATTGGAAAAGTCGCAAAATTGAAAACGAAAGCTACTTTGTTTGATAAAAACTGGAAAAGAATAAAGACTACAAATATAACAAAAATAAAAATCCCGTTTTAAAAGTACAGTAGCGTCATGTAGTGTTCAGTAGCGTCAGCTAAACGTAACATTTTCGTCTACTTAACCAACATAACATAAGCATTCAATATTAGCAATAACAATTGTACAGATGTTTTTTATTCGAAACTTCGGTTAATCCTGCGTTAACTAACATATGAATTTGAAAAAGAATAAAATAAAATTATAATTACCTACAATGTCAAATTGAATTGTTAACAATAGTTACGTTTTAATGCCCTATATGGACTTCCGCTCTAATTTTCATCCCCTTATGGAATATTTTTCGGGATAAGACATGCTAACTTTCTTTTAACTGTGTAACTTTCACCATTTACGCAGCGCACGCAAGGAAAGCTCTCAAAAGTAAAATATTCTCCGGTTTTTGCAACATTTTTGCTGCTCCACTCTTATAATATAGCGTGATGTTATATAGCATAGCCTTCCTCGATAAGTGGACTATTCAACACAAAAACAATGATTCAATTCGAACCATTAGTTCTAGTAGTAGAACCAATAGTAGAGATTATTGAGTTCAACCAAACAAACAAACTCTTCACTTTCATATTAGTATATAGATTCTATGTATAAATAACTTCAAATAGTCATAAATAATACCTTATTTTATAGACACTCAAAAATTGCTTGACAAATTGGTCATTTCAAAAATTGAAGCATTTTAACGGTTATAGAAACATCGGAGCGTGTGCATTAATAGGCCTACTACGATATCAGAATATCGATAAATTCTTTCAATTTACTTCATTTTCCAACTTATTTCTGAGCATATTATGTTATGTTATGAAACCCATTATGATTATAGCTTAACAGCTAAAAGGATATTTAACCTCCGTGACCAACTGCTGGTGATCCTTGCATTTATTTATTTTATTTTTTACGGTTTTAAATATATTAAATATTAAACAACATCACATATATTGCTCAGATTCCAAGATGAATAGGTAAAACCCCCGTATTATGGAGTATCTGAGATAACGAAAGTACCACAACACCTAGACCCGAGACATTTTCATTTTCTATATTGACCCGACCTGAAATCGATCACAGATAGATAGCGACACCTTGAAACCGGTGTGCGAACCACTCGGCTACGGAGGTCGTCAAGCATATTAAAGTGTCGCCACCTCTGCATAGAACGTTTCTATATTGCCTCGGGTCTGGGTGTTGTTAACTTCGTTGTTTCAGATTTCTATAATACAAGTAATATTGCTACTTAATTTGGAATCTAAGGAATGTATATGATGTTACCTAATATTTATATTATTAGGAGAATTTGCCAAAATTTACCACATGTTTTAGTATTATTACTAAAGATTTACCAAAAATGTGTCAACTTGGTAAATATTGTAATAATCTCCTAATAATATAAATATGTATTCACATTCGCATACAATGATGTTTTATGTGTTTCTTGTTGTCAAGATAAGGTTTGTATATAAAAAAATATTAAAAGATATTATAAAAAACGAGTATATGACGGTAGGAAGTTTGCAGGGTCAGCTAGTATGTGATAAAACATGTAAAGTAACATGTAACAATTACTTTGTTATAGGAAAAAAACATGGAAAACGATGAAAATATCGCAGTACACAAAACACAGCCGGTCAATGGAATCCAAAGAAACACATTTATGAATGGTATGTATTATTAGTGATGTGCCTGTACACTTCACAGGCATATCACTAATTTTATATGTGTATAAATAATAATAGCAACTTGAGACATTTAGAGGGTTTAACACGAAATTTTTAGAGTTCCGTGGCTGAAATATATCGGGATACTCTATTCCTACCGAGGAACCCCTTTCCAAACTAAGTTATGTACACTAAAACGGAGTTCCATTTCATGGCATAAATTAATTTTCGTCGTATGATGTTGAATTAGTCACCTAAAACAGTGTAGAATAGGATAAACATACATAGATAAGATACTTACGTATATATGTTCTTGATCGCTGTTCCACTGGCATTTGATGGAGAGTGGAGATTATTTTGATTCTTTTGTCATAGAATGTTTGTCTATTTATATATGTAGGGGAGACCGGGTCAAAACCGTATAGCTAAGGACATACCTAAATAAATTGGAAATAAATAAAAGTTCTGTATTAGTAATCAACATGTTTATTCAAGACTCTCGTTGACTACAGGAATTAACAAAAAATTATACTTTAATCCTCTTGATAACAAAAATAAATCAACAAATACGTACCCTCGACGAATTCCGATTTCGCCCCGAGGTGTGGACAGAACCGTATACTATATACGATATAGCCCTAAAGTGAACGTGGTGCTACGCAACCATAAAAGATGAAAGAAACATATCGCCAGATGATTTAAATATATTTACACGGTCCTGTAAAGTAGACTAGGGAACACCGTAAGTGATCGATGCTCTTAGATATCCCATTTCTCCTTCAATAACACTTTGCATAACCTTTTTCATTATTTCTGGGTTCCAAATCTGTTGGGTAGTAGTTCAATTATAATTTCGTGGCATTTTAAAGAAACCTATATAGAAAAATATTTATAATTAATTAACATGGTATCGGGCCAAAATAGTGTACTATCCGTTTTAACCCCGTACGGTTTTGACCAATTGAACATAACCAATACATTCATCATCTACTACTTTATAGAGTCACATTCGTTGTTAAAACATTGCACATGATAAAATAAATATACACAGTTTAACGTAATTATTATTTTACTTACTTATATATTATAATATGTCCACTAATCAAACTTTTAAACCCTTAAAAATAAGATCAAAACACCTAAAAACATTGTTTTCCTTATAACTTGTTAACACTTGCGCTGGTAGCGACAAGTGCCTGTTGACAGATTGATCCTATTGACACAGTGTAAATATAAGTAGACAGTGGTGAAACTGCCTACAAGCGTTCGAAATCGCACGCACACATAAACACGCTCACCGACGAGTCGCCTAAGTGGACCTAACAGGACGCTCAGTAACGCGTATCGCGTTGAGTTGAGGGGTCACGTAACACGTTCCGCGATCGTTTTTATTTAAAAAATGAAGGAGAGATTAAAGAAAGGCGTAGGCTTATGTGAAATAAAAAATAAGTTTTTTTTAAATACCCGTTTCAGTATCATGCATATTTTCGGGTTGAAACGTAGCACGGTCCCACCCGAAAATGCTTGATAAACACCTAAAAACAGCCGCTCATGAGCACGCCACCTAAATGCAGTGCCTACCTACCACGCGTCCGATCCGAAGAGAGAGTCCGCTCTTCGACTATGTGTCCGTCAAAACTTATACAAGGGTATACCGTAATGTCAAGTTAACGATCAACATAAAAACAAAGATTTACAAGTTTTGTCAATATTAAACTATTTCTCGTATGTTAAACTATCGTCTTCTGCTGAGATTAACCGATTTTTAACCGACTTCAAAAAATGAAGGTTATCAATTCGACCTGTGCGTATGATATATTTCCAGAACTGCCCAGTTTTCGCATATGTTATTTCTATATCATGTGGTGATATAGAATAATATAAGTAGATATCACTGTCTGAACAAATGTGTATGTATATTTTTGTTTGTTAATTAGTTATTACAATTCGATTGATTAATAATGTCAGAACTCCTTTTATATTTTGTAAAAGTAACATTCAAAATGACAACCCTATGGTTTCAATGGAGCGTAGGTATTTATTTTATCAAATAGGCTTAGTTTCTATACTGTGTCATTCTTATACTGTGCTATTGACTACTTGCAGTGACCGACATATGCGTGCGAAATTTCAAATAATAACGGACATAGCTACACTATACGGTTTTACCTCGGTGTACGGTTTTGGACGGGTCTCCCCTACATATAGAATGTAGGTAAATATTAATAGTTTACAGAATATTACGTAGTTTTTATGGAAGTTAATATTTAATTTGAAGTTATTTACGACCGGTTTTTGAATAGAATGAAGTACAAAATCTCAACTGATTATTCTTAATAACTTAAGCCCTAATTTAATCAAACTGCTATCAACTGATCATTAAAAAAGTTTAAGTTTATTCAAGTGCTGTTTGAAACGTACTTAAATACTCAATTCAGAAACCCAGGTGGAGGACCAACTTACATATTTTCTCGCCTAATTATTTCACTTACTTTTCCATTGATAAAGTATAGTATTGGACCATTTGCATGGACCATTTTCATTTTCTAAAATAAATGTAATGAGTTGGTCGCGGTAAATGTAAGGGGCTTTCATGACCCTTTTCTAAGATGTTTCTTAGTTTGATGCGTTAGTATTTCAATAGTCACAAGTGATATTTCACGAATATTTATAGTGTGTATTTTATTAGAAACAAACTCAAATTTAAGGTGAAAACCTTTTTCAGTTTTATCTACTGATATCGATCAATTCATAATGTATATGGGGTCTTGACATCATGTTTATATTGGAGTATATTTGCAAGGCGCTACTTTGAAAAAGTGGAGTTAATGGCATTTTGCAAATTATACAAAATTCATATTTTTAACCAACTTCAAGAACCAAGAGAAGGAAGTTATATGTTTTATGGCGATGTTTTTATATGTATGTTAACCGATATTTACGCAAGTTCTCAAAAAAATTTTTGTTAATTTTATCGAAATCGAATCAGTAGTTTTCCTTTTATAACAAAACAAAATACTCTTTTCACTAGATGTTACAATATCATTTCAACTAAAAAACAAAAGATTTTGTATTTAAATTCATTCAAAATCCGAAAGGAGGATCTACTGTGTTCAAAGAATTTTTTTTTTAAACTATGTATGTTCGTCCATTTCTTCTTGAATTGTGAATCAATTTCTATCAAACTAGCTTTTACCCGCGATTTCGCGTGAGAAATTATAGCCCCCCGCGTATTATGTAGCTTGCCGTAGATGAAAGACGTTTGCAAATCGATCCAATAGTTTCGGAGCCTATCCAAAGCAAACAAACAAGCAATCAAATCATACCTCTTTATTACATGAGTTTAGATTATTGGAAGAAATTATGTCGAACAAATAAACAAAATCTTTTCTAAAACTTTCACTATGTGGAATATTTTTATTAATATAGATATTTAATATTTTTAGTGTTACCACTATCACTAAAAATCTAGAAAGAAAGACTTTTTTGCAAAACAATAGAACCGAATTCAAACTAAAAAAAAGTGATAAATAGTAAGTTACTTATTTATCTCTAAAGCGACTTATCATTTAATTAATAACATACATAACACTTCCGCACGACTTAAATAGCATTATCTTGAATAAGTCGCTTTTTAGAAAAGTATTATTAATCACTTTTTTAAAGTTTGAAGTCCGTTCTATTTTTGAAAAAAGTTTTTTAATAGAGCATTTTTACGTCGACCGTACAACTAATAGGTAGGTAACAATTATTTTTTCGTATTATCTTTTACTTGCATTTTTATCTGCAAGAATGATAAATAACTGGTTTTTAATCCTCCAAGGCTACGATTTAGCGCTAAATGCTATCTTTAGAAGAGAAATCAATCATAAAGTGATTATTATATTTACGCATTTTTGGGTAAGTCAAAAAATAACAAATTTCTTATCAATTCCCGGAACCATGTTGTTGGTTTTCAATAGTAATGATGATGAATTGGTTTATTACTAAAAATATTTTAGGAAAGAAAGGAATTACGTCTGCGAAGAACATTCACAAAATTTCAAATTTAGATCACTAACAAGCAATGTAATATAAGGTAAAAGTCGTTACAAAACTTAGAGCAAAAAGGATGCATCCTTCACAACATAACTAGAGTATGTCGCATTTTTATCTTAAACAATTGACATCTATGTGTTTTTCAAGGAAAACGTGGATAATGCATAATCAACTTATTGAGCCTCTTTGTCAACAATTTTATCTCACAGTACAAACGGTGCGTTCTTTGACACTGTTATCAACCAGTGTCAGTTTGATTGCGTGTGTTTTATCATTAAAATAATGTTTTTGGTGCTCTCACATCCGTAGTCTAAATTTGTCTTGAACACTGGGGTCGTTACAATGTCAAATGTCGTAATAGAAACTTATTAATCATCTATGGAATTTATTAATTAGTTATTTTACAGGTAGCGTTAAATTTTTAGGCGATGTCGCATGACAGTCAACTGAAATGATTTTTACTATACATCGTCATTATAGGTAGTTTCTATAACTAAAACTAAAATAATTTAACAATTTAAGTTAGATACATAATTAAACGACGGTACATAAAGAAATTCATTCGAGCTTTAATCATATGAAGTTAATTGATATGTAACTATAGGTAAGTACTGAACAGCGCTGTGTATCATTAAATGTCACGTTTCAATCAAATAAAATTAAAGTAACAATAAAATTTAAAGGGTTATAAAATAAAGGCGATAACGCTACACTCTACGCAGGCCCCGGGCTATAAATGGACAGACCGGGCATTTGCCCAGGGCGCCAAATTTTTGGGGGCGCAAAATCAAAGAGATAAAAAAAATAAATAAGAGAAACACATTGCCTTAAAAATATAATTTTAAGTTGTAATCTTTGTTGGAAGTGTGAATTATGTAGAAATAAATGTCTACAGTTTTGTGTATGAAAGACGTGTTTTCTTGTTATTTCCTTCATAAAATATAAGTAACATAGATTATTTACTTTTACATCATAGTAATAAAGGGGGCGCCAGTAGACCATTTGCCCAAGGCGCCTGTCACCTAAGCCCGGGGCCTGACTCTACGTTGTATACACAGTCGAGGTGCAACTCTAGTTATAGCTAGAGTAGTAACGAGATCGCTCTTCCGAAGAGCATAGATAATCAAATCATCCAAACGATGGCTTATTTACAAAATATTAAATACTTAACGTTACCAACATTTAGTTATATTGTTATCTTCGAAATTGAAAACGGGTTCTAGCATAAATATTATTTCTTACGTATATTATCAATAGAAGTTTGAAAACATAAAAACTAGTATTTTATTATGTATTTATTTATTTTTGAATGGCAGGACCAGATCAAGTGGTGCCATCTTCAAATTACAACGTATGGGAACCAGAGGGCGCTGTGAAGCTACGTCTCGCGCCGCGAGGCGTGGCTGCCGAGCCGCCTGTGTCGGTTCCGGGACTGCTCACGCGCATAGCCTCACGATACCCGGACCTAAAGGCACTATGCACCAAAAAAGCGGACGGAAAATGGCACAAAATCACTTACAAGTACTTATTTCAATTTGTTAATGTTTAATATGTTTTGCATCTTTAATAGAAGGGAAATCTTGCAAATAAAATTACAAATAAATTAAATTATCCTATCTAATATAATCGAGTGCGATTTCTCTGTAGGTAATTTAGCATTAAAAAATCGTTAAAGTTGGACCCACGAAAAGTATTAAAACCCGGCAACATAAGTCAAATATTTATTATTACGAAAAAAGTTAGCTTTGATTCCCGCTAGTTAATTGGTATGATGCACACCGTAGCCGAATGGCTTGTAAAAGGCTTGTCTCTGAATTTGATATCCCGGGTTAAATTCCGGGTGGGTCAATAAAGAAATTAAACTTTTCAATATTGTCTCTTAATTTCTGAGTTCGAATCCCGATCGTATCGATGTAGAAAATGAACTGTGATGATTCTATATTGTCTTCGAACTGTGTGTCATGGTACTTTAAGATAATTCCAAATGTACCTAAGCCACATAATTGGAGATCTGTACATTATATCGGTGTGTTTAATTCATCTCCGAAGAAATTTCAGTGTTTAAAATTGGTGTTTCAAACTTCAGACAGTACAGGGAGCGGGTACGAACCGTCGCCAAGGGCTTTCTGAAACTGGGCCTAGAACGATACCACTCCGTGTGTATCATAGGTTTCAACTCCGAGCCTTGGTTCCTGTCAGATCTCGCAGCTATACACGCAGGGTATGTACTCATACTATTAATAAATTTGAATATTTATTAAATCTATTTCAGGTATCTATTTCAAAAATATCTATTTAATTCTTTTGCATTTTACCCTCGGATCTAAATTTAAAATGTGTTATACTCGTTTATAGACTAAGTCACAATATTATTCATCCAACTCTCTTGAATGGTCGACTTTATCTTATATAAAAGCGTATTTAAACGACCGTATCCTGCAAAACGCATGAAACACCAACAATAATATAAATAAAATCTAAGTACAATATAATTATAACTCATTTAGAAACGTTTCAATTTTTATAAACGGTACGTAAGTACGGAAGTTTATTACTTACACGTTAATATACACATAAGTACCAAAACCAGGACATGTCCTGTTTTATGTAATAAAATAGGTATTACTGTCGCCCATATTATAATGCATAATTTAACAACATATTCAAAGTCATTAGTTTCACTATATTATTTTAGTAGTAGGTACTAGTAGATATGATATATATAGCCATACGTAGAAACATAAAAATATAATATTCCACTTAGGTATATTCTCCATATTATATATATTATATTCTGTATATTCTGTTCATAGGTATTCATCAAGTAGGTAATATATTACCTACTTATATTGTAGTTGTTAGTTATTATCCTTTGATTATATTGATTTTGTCTTTATTTAATAGCTATATGAATTCTCACAGAGGTTTTGCAGCGGGCATCTATACAACGAACTCTGCTGAAGCCTGTTTCCACTGCCTTTCTTCTTCGCGCGCCAACATTTGCACAGTGCAAGACAAAAAACAATTGGAAAAAATACTATCTATTAAAAGCCGGCTTCCACATCTTAAAGCCATCGTGCAATGGGAGGGTACAGTGGACACGTCAATACCAGGTGTTTACAGTGTAAGTTTACATTCATTTATATTTTTTCAGTATTAATTATAAATCTTGTCAACATTTTTTAAAATGACAATAGGTCACTCATTGTCACTTTCATTAACGAAAGGTTAAAAGAAAATTCTGGTAAGTTTGTTTTTACAATATAGCTCTTATTAATAAAATCTCCATATTCTTGATTACCTTTAGTACTAATTTCAGATACTAATTTATGGTAAAATTTCATAAACGTTGAAAATTGATTAATTAACCCAATTAGTTACTTACTTAAAAAGTTTCATGTACTAATAAAAAAAAATGCATAATAGTTTATGATTAATTTACCTAATGCAACCTGCTATTGGAAAACAACAGCTACAAATAACTATGGAGCTTAATTATTTTAATATCATAGTATTATTTGTTATACCTTGTCCACTTAATGAATGCTCAAAACCATAATTTCCACGCCTACATAACAAGGATCAACTACTTCAGATTACTAGAGATACTGGAAGAGCTCGTTGACGCAAAGGTTAGCAGATTCAGTTTGCAATGTAGGAGTTTAATCTTTTAGAAGGTCTGGTCATAGAATGGGATAAATATTAATAGTATTTTTTTTTTACCTCTCCTCCTCTCTTAAGGCATGAAATGCTGTTTCCTCGGATTAGGTTAGGTTTCAGTGTTGTTATTTGAGGTGTTCAATTTTTTTATTAAAACTTTAGTGTTAATATATACTTCTAGATATATCTTTATATTATTAGATCGAGTAAAAACTTTATGTGTTGAACGGCTTTCGGTACTTCTTTAAATTCCAATACACTATAAAATTACAAATAAGATAAGATATGGTAAGACCTAATATAAAATTATAAGTAAGTTTATAATACCGTTTTAGTTTTGTCGTAGATGTTGTTAAACTATTTTTTATCAGTAATACATTAAGTCATAAAAATATTTTTATTATCGAATAATACACACATTTATATATTTGATGTATTGTTGTATTTTTATGGCATTTTAATCAGTTTTAAAATTGTTATTCATGGTACAATTTTGTTGAATGATTCAAATTAAAACCCTCACTAAACAAAATAGCCGTAAAGTTATCAATATATTTTACAAAATAAACGGATGTTTAAGGTAGACACAAAAAGTACCTATCTCTACAGATTGAAAAACTTGACTATCTTGTCTTTACCTATCATAGACAGCGCTGAAATTACGATAGAAGCACTTTATCATTAAGGCATTAGGTACCATTTATCTCTGCATGTTTTCATCTAATTGTCATATCTTAATATAATATAATATAGAAATACATTTACCTACTCGTAATCTTATGTAATTTCCGATTATCTGATTAATATGACCAATTTCAATTAAAACCAGGTGTCTACCGTATAAAAGATGATTAATGAATAAATAGTAAATAAACATCGCAAAAATATTGTCCATTTGTATATAAAGACACGAACGTATACGTCTTCAATATTAAAGTAACTTAGATATTTTAAACTTAATTTACAAATTGATTAAATTTCAAAGCGCATCCAAGGACTGGCGAAACCTACAAAAAATAATAAAAAATTCTGAATAAATATAAATTTCAAACATTTCTGATGAAAATTTCACAGAGATGTCGAGCTTTGAAAAGTAATTTTCTTAATATGATTTTTTTTTTAATTAAGCACTTAAGCTTGTATCGTCAAACAGAGCATATCCGCTCGCACTCGCTAGTCGTATCCATCCCAGCCCTCTAATAATAAGTTAACAACTGTTTTCAGTCTTCACATAGTTTATAGACAAACATATGTATCATATATTTTTCGATGACTATCTTTAATTAGGTAGATATTGGTAAATTTCCATTTAAGTTATACGTACTTTATTAGAACATTCTACATTGAATTAATAGTGAAAAAATTCCAGTGGGACCAGCTAATGGAGATAGGCAGCAAAGAGTCAGACACAGCCCTTGACAACGTCTTGAAGCACATAGCAGTCAACGAGTGCTGTACATTAGTTTATACGGTAAGGCCTCATTACAATACAGATAATAACCTGCTACCTCTATTAATTCTACTAGTCTCTGCTTAAGATACATTCACTTAAAAACAACAAAAATATTTCGTGGCGGGACATTAGAAAAAAGAAAGAATTTTATATATTATATTTAATTAATTTCGCATTCACAATGCTATATTGAATAATATTCTTAATAGAAAATGTTTAAAAAATCCGCTTGGTCCCTCGCACCCTGAGATGGGATTCGATCCCATGACCTTTCCCAATCCGGGCTACTGCTCTAAACACTAAGCTACCTAGGACATAACAGGACTGACGAATCTTTCAAGCATTTGTTACTTTTTCGGCAGTCCACCTAAACAGCCGAAAGAAATATTTTTACAAATATTTAAACTTCGATTTATCAATTTCCAGTCATATTATCAAACCATTTAAGTGACTGATTAAAATCTTTAACACTTTATACCTCAATTTGTGACAGATTACCAGCTTATTGTATATGAAAATACAAACAACTGACAACACATGTTTTATGACTTTTGTTTTCACAAATCAGTTTTAATTTTACCAAAAATAAGCATAGGTATTATCAAAACAACATTAACGCGCAAGCGCAGCGTTGCGCTTTCATTTGTAATTAAAACCAACTATGCACTATACCTATAAGTGTCACAAGTGTAGAAAAAATAGTTGAAAAATCATTATTGTTCAATAAAAGTATTGAATTATTGTTATGTGCCTAGGTTAAACGTTTTGGGTAGAATATTAGCTATGTAGCCCTCCTGCGAAGTTGCTAGTGTTTTAAAAATAACCTTGTTTATTTATTATAAATAAAATCGTTTTATATTTTATTTCCAGTCGGGGACTGTGGGCCCGCCTAAAGCAGTAATGCTCTCCCATGACAATCTCATTTGGGATGCCCACACTATCTCCATTCGATGCGGGGACATGCAGCCCGAAGCAGAACGTCTTGTCTCTTTCTTGCCTCTCAGTCACGTCGCCGCTCAGGTGCGTGTATATTTTATTATTTTTAACTTGGTGACCTCATACTTCCGACTTCTTAGGCTGAGCGCAGATTGACAGATTTTAGACAGACTTGCCTCTAAAAGACAAATCTGTCATAAAACTAAAACGAAACTGTTTTGTCTACTAAGACAAATGTCGCGTCCACATACATACAAAAAATAAGCCGACAATAGACTTTTCACCGCGCATTTCGTGTAGTTATTAAACAAATTTGTTTATGAGACGTTGTATTTGAAGTGTGCGTGTCTTCATACATTTTGTATAGCAATGGTTGTCTTAAAACTATCTCAGCCTTAAAATTAATAAATGATGTAGGTATAATTTGGGCATAATAATAATTATAAAGACCGATAGCTGATCAATCCATGACGAAGGAGGTAAATGAAACACTTTACACTTGTACAGTAAGATACAAAAGCTGATGAGTTTCACTGATGTACCTGCATATAAAGGTAAATTTCCATGAAAATCAGTCCTGCAGTTCTTGAATAATATTTATGACAAATATATAATCAATACCTGTTCAACCCCTCCCCTCACCTATTTTTATTTTATACCTTACCTTTATCAAAAAAATAACTAATTTTATAATCATAATGGTTTTTAAAATAAATAAAACTTGGTTAGCTATATTTCGCGCAATTCGCCATCCTCTGTAGTGACAGTGATCCATCTCATTGGCGGTCGTCTTAATGTCATCTCGTTTTCACTTTTGTCGTCAGGCGCAATATCACCTATCATAAGTAGGTGGGCAATAACACAACAGATTTCATACAAATCAAATTCAAATTGATTGTAAATATCAATATTTGTCATTTTATGTAAAGAGATATTACAAATAACTTTATTTTTATAGGTCTTAGATATATACACATCAATGACGAAAGGAATCTCAGTGTTTTTTGCACAACCAGATGCACTTAAAGGCAGCATAGTAGAAACATTGAAAGAAGTGCGACCTACAAGGTAATATTGCTAAATACTATCTATGAATTCGGTTTTTTGAAGATAATTCAATTCTGATTAACCCAGATTTACACTTTAATAACTCGATGGCGCAGCGCTTAGGGCGCTAGGTCTACGATATGGATGATAAGAAACTTTCGCAAAGGGCGGCCATAGAATGGGTGTTATTGCGAGCTTTTTCGTGCTTCGGAAGGAGCGTTAAGCCGTTGGTCCCAGCTGTATCTGCAGTCGTTAATACCCACTAATCCGCACTGGGCAGCGTGGTGGGTCACGACTCATTATCCGTTCTCGATTCCATTCATAGGGAAAGCCCCATCAGTGGGGAATTAAACAGGATGATATTGAGGACACTTCAATAACGTGGCGAGTTAACCTGTCTCTCTGGCATATAAGTACTCGTACGTATTGACGTTCGGGTTCGATATCTATCGGGTTAAGATAATCAAATTTCAATAAGATAACAAATTAATAGATATAATAAATCAATGTAATGATTTCCTTTGTGCGTATATAATGATTATACAGAATTATATCAGATGTTAAATTCGTTTTGAGTATCTAGATTTATTATTATCTTCACATTAATATGAATCTAGTAATATTTAATGCGTAGTACTATTTTGTTAAACTTCATGTAACAATTTTTTTTACAATAATTGAACTAGCATAGGTAAGCGATAATATATAATGTAACACAAATTTTATATACTTTGATGCCCGAGATGGGTGCGACGTCCCAATTCTATAGCTATAGGACGACATCTGAACGATTTTTGAATGATATTTCGTTTCATTTTACTATTTCGACATGTCTTTATGGTATATAAGCGACTAAGTTGATAAAACTGCTGTCAGATACATAACCATAATTCTTTATCATTCGTTGGTCGTTAATAACGTACGAGTCAGAGTTAATGGAACCACGTTATAACATCACCAAGATGTTGTACCTCTTGGTTAGAAAATTAGGCATTCGCATCCCCGAGACTGAAAGTTTTATTTTTCTTTGACATTATTACCAATATAGCATTATGAATGCAAAATTGATCAAATATAATAATCTAATACACTGCTATAGAATATTGTAATGTTTTATAACGTTTATATGTAATTGTCACACAGAAACCTTCCTTATAAGATAGAAACAAATACACTTAATAACAATATTAAACGTTTGTTTATAGATTTCTAGCAGTACCAAGGGTATTTGAAAAGATGCACGAGAAAATTGTAGCAGTCGGAGCATCGAGAGGAGCTATCACTCGATACATCGCCGGTTTGGCTAGAAACGCCACATACAATTACCACATGGCCAGGATAGATGGGTGAGTCATTTAAATTAAAAAAAAAAATAACTTAATCTGAACAGAAAATACGGTGACGCCTGAAACGTACAATTTTATCTACTAATGATATAAATGTGCGAAAAAAGACATCTGATAACGAATTTTAATCGCGACTTCAATTTATTTATTGCTTTTACTCATTGTATTATATTTAATCAGATAAATATACTTCACATGAAGTAATGAGAGGTATATAAATAGTTCATTCCATCAATTACATTACACCTTAAAACATTTACATAAGAGATAAAAAAAAGATAAGACAATCATGCTTATGTAGCAGATTGAAATGGTATGCACCTATGCACAGGTGAAGCATTGATTTTCAGAAATCACCCACTGGAGGTGAACAGTGACAAAAAAGTTTATATATAAAATAGTATAATAACCGGTTATGACACAATAAAATATTGGGATACGAGAAAAAACTATTTTCTAATTAAATTCACTTATAACCATTCTTACTAGAGTCTATACAATGGAAATGGTGGGTCAGCCCATAGATATACCAACTGAAGACATGGTAAAATATTGGTATGTTGATTTGTTAGATTTAATGCACTTTAATTATTGAATGCGGTGTGTTTATAAATCAGTTTGCATAATCCTTATTCATGTACACACAGTAACATGTATTAGTAGGTATGCCTCTTAACTGACAAGTAAAAGCTTCAGACAATTTAGAAAAACTTCTAAAACTCCCAATGAATGCGAAGTATTTGTAATTTTTGAGATCACTTTTAACCACGTCTTTATTTCAATGATCTATATTCAATATTTTGAAAGAAATAAGGGTTTTATAACTGATCCGAAACTATTTGCTCGTTAGTTTGTAAAAAAGCCAAATTATTTCAATCAATCTTAAACTTTTAGGTTTTAAAATTGATAAATAAAACAATGCATTTTATGGTGGCATTACGTGTTATCGTTTGTACTTTCTCAGTAGTTAACTAACATACCTATCTTTTCAAACAAATGCATAGTTTTTTGAGTGCGTGTGGAATTTAATTTATATTTAGACTGTAGCAAACGCTATGATGTAATATTTTTAATCCTTGACATTTACAGCTGTATGAGATACGTGGAAACTATTTTAAGACGGCCTACTTTTAGGATTCCAATTTCTAATATTTTAGAATTCCACTTCAGATTATTAGTTAATCAATAGGAAAGATTTTTACCTTTCCTATTGATAACTAATCGTTTTGAGTTACAACAGTAGATTTGATACTTGTATTTTGTTTAATCATAAAAAGTCTATCTCTTAGTAGATACTAAGTAGATTTGTATATACAAAGTATAGGTAATTGGCTTATGTGCATGACATTAGTAGTGAAAATAGAAAAATGCATGCTATTCATTTTTTATTTAATGACTGTACATCGTAGTATTTATTATATGCTTAATTCGAATTTAACGAAATCTCCAAAAATGACTTACTGTTCCATCCCGTGTTTTTGCATTATGATCTACAAAAGAAACTATAAACTCCTTTCAATAAGATCGATATTCTTCCGCAACTACACTTGCATAGAATTGATTGAGTGTAACGTTTAAGGAACCTATTAGCGAGATAAAATATAACAATTTATATGTCTTCAACATATCCTATGATTTACTTATACTGATAACAAACATAAACAAATACAAATTATTTATGTTTGTTGTCAACATAAATAATTTGTATTAATTTTACATTAAATATCCACATTTAATGTAAAATTAGTTGAAAGTAGAATATCTCTTCCGCACCTTTTGTCTTCTGTTTCGATTTCCGACAATTTTTGATGTTACAATTTCTTCAGTTAATTATATTTATGCTGACTATTGGTTATTTTTTTAGGTACGAAGGTACATCTTTCGGGTACAGACTCGCCAAATCTTTGGTGATAAGTAAAGCTCTAGACGCTTTAGGTCTAGACCAATGCAAGATGTATATATCATCAGCAGCCCCAATGTCGCCGGAGATAAAGAAATTCTTCATGTCTCTCGATATGCCAATCGTAGAGGCGTTTGGCATGAGTGAAATGGCAGGGGCTCATGCACTCAGCATCTATCCAAAGTGAGTAATGAAAAATAAAAGCTACTTAAATTTTAAGGCAGTTCATATAATGTTTCTAAGTATATTATTATTATCACATTTTTATACCGGTAATGAAACGAGACTGGCAAGGGTTTGATTGAATCCAATGTCGACTAGCACGCGTAGCATGACAAACTCGAGAAACGCTTTGTCGGGTCAAGAGTGAGATATAGTATGGGCGCACCCGAGAAAAGTGACTACTAAAGTTAATCTAGCGCGAATCTAGTAACGCGGGTAGCTCTATCGCGTAACCGGAAACCTTGATTGATATGTCAAAACAAAGCTCCGAGTAAACTCATCGAACTCAACAAATCATGATCATGATTTGTCAGCCTGACAGTTTCATGACAATCATGACAAATCAATCATGATTTGCCAGTTAGTGTATGTAAACAATGTGTATGTAAGCAACAGTTCTAACCTAACCGTAATCGAAAAATAGAACATTTCGAAGTCATTTTCTTGGTACCTCATTACGTACACTCCGAAAGGATTACTCTGGCCAATCCCAGACTGATTCTGATGAGAAATTAATTTGTCAGCATTACAGATTAATCAGGTCTTCAGTTAAACGGTGGAGCCGTTGACGTGAAATTACAATCCTTTTTTTTTTTTTGAAAAATGTGTTCTTTTAGAGGTGCTAAGCCGTAAGAAAAAAATGTGTAAAATTATAACTGTTGTAACATCGGTTTACAGAATGAAACTCGACTCAGTAGGAGAGTTGCTAGATGGTACTGAGACGAGGTTCGACGGCTCCGTCAGTCCCAACGGTCCCGGAGAGATCTGCATGCGCGGCCGCCATCTTATGATGGGTTACCTCAACGATAAAGAGAAGACTCAGGAAGCTATAGACGACGAAGGCTGGATACATTCAGGGGACATCGGCAGAGTCGATGATTTTGATTTATTATACGTCACTGGCAGGATAAAGGTTAATTTCATTTTAAAATGTACAATATATGTCTTAATACAGGAATTAAAAGAGCATTTTTTGATTATGACATAGAAATCGCTATGTATCTACTCACATTGTGAATGAAATTACAAGATTGTGTTTAAGTATATGAATGAATTAATATTAAAATACGTTATCTAAAATTTAGAGATTAACTAGCTATTAATACCTATCAATTCGGGAAGCTACATCATAATCCACGAGTGATATAGGCTATATTTACGCGAAGTCGCAAAGTATATGTATACTAGCTTTCGCCAGCGGCTTCGCCCACGTGGTCCCTAGGGAAATGTTTAGTGGGATTAAAAGTATCCTATTATCTAAGTCAGCTAATACCCTAACTGTATACCAAATTTCATCAAAATCCGTTCAGTGGTTTCGGCGTGATTGATGGACAAACATCCAAACAAAGAAACTCACATTTGTAATATTAATAGCATAATATGATTGGTATGGCGACAACAATATAGGTATAGCAAGACGAACTGCAAGAAATTTCAACAACCAGTAACGAGATGGTGCTGTACCACTACAAATATTGTAAACTAATATAATACACGTCATTTAGAAGAAAGGAATCCTACATGGCCCACAATAAGTCTCATTACCAATTCTCATAAATAGAACGTCCAACCTACATCGGTAGGATCACTTACAACACCTAGCTCGGAGGGAAACAATTACCCTTTAGTCTCCCTTGCGAGTTGTCTCCGTCATACGGATTCCATACTTCCAACTTCTACAGAGTTTTACTATCCATCATCAAGCAAGCCTACGACCCGATTAGAGTTGCCAAATCGGTAATATTATATGTTTTTATGCGTACAGGAGCTGCTAATAACAGCGGGCGGTGAGAACGTTGCACCGGTACCTATAGAGCAAGTAGTACAAGCTGAGTTACGACACGTTGGATATGCTGTACTTATCGGTGATAAACGAAAGTTCCTATCCATGCTCATCACCATCAAGGTAAATAAAAATAAAGCATTTTGATTGATCTCATATATGAAATTACATCTCTTCTTGTTACTCTGTTGTTATATTGTGCCATAATATATTTTGAACTTTACGAACGCCAAACCTTTAGGCCAATTTAATATTTATGTACTGTAATGTCAATTGTTTATTGACAATCAATACTTTATTGACATTACACATTTACAAACAACGTGGGCTTAATTCTTTTAGTATTAACGTAATTATGGTGTTTCAATGACATCTCTTTCTGACAAAGTTCTTCTTACTAGATGACAAAATAAGAAACATTTAACATCATTGATATAGGGCCACGCCATTCTGCTGGCCCAGGTGAATAATACAGTAATAAAATTTTATAAGTCGAATCGCCATTGAGATGCCATTATGAAATTAACATTGGCAAAATAGAAGATCTCTACCATAAAATCTTAAATATAATGCAGAATTCATTGTCAATGAAACACCGTTATTTCACGTATAACACTATCTCGCTTGGACTATTTCAAGAATTTCTATTCTACTATGATACCAACATTTTGAATTGTTTACAGACTAAAGTAGACAATGAAACGGGCGCAGCACTTGATGCACTGGAGCCTGAAGCACAGAAATGGGTGACCAGTCTAGGCAGTAAAGCGACGACCCTCAGTGAGATATCAAAGACCAAAGATCCAGCTGTAAGCTCCTTTAAAACTATAACTCACTCACTCACTCACACATGCCAATTTTAAAGCCTTCTAATACATACTTACTAAATAAATAATAATAAGGATTAGCTATTATTATAAGCGGGTACAGTTTTCTACATGAATCAAAATAATATGAAAAATAAAAAAATCCATATAGCTTGATATTTTACTATATTTATTTTCTTATACGATTTTATTTTTTCCAGGTACACAAAGCCATAGAAGAAGGTATAGCACGCGCAAACAAGAAGGCTATCTCAAACGCACAAAAAGTACAAAAGTTTGCTATACTCCCTGCAGATTTATCGATGCCCTCGGGAGAATTAGGTAAGGTTAAAACATGCCCAAGGAACCAGTATTTAGTAGACACATTTTAAAGAAAATATGTATTTCAATAGACAAATAAGTCCTGTACCTTGCCTGTTATCAACAATAAAGACTGAGCTTAAAATATAAGTTACTATGAATGTGACCTCTAATAAAAGTTAACTAAAATTTGTAACTAAACTTTACCAGATTGAAAATATGGGATTAAGTTCCCTTGTACGTATCGAACTATCGATGAAGATACCAAAGAAACGAATGTTGAAAATCTTGAAAAATTGCACCAGCTATATTATAATAAATTTTACTTTTTCAGGACCAACGTTAAAAATTAAAAGGAATGTAGTCTACGATAAATACAAGGATATAATAGAAGATTTTTACAGAGAGTGATATTTTAGATTTAAGCTTAGTCAAAGGAAAAGGGGGGTGTAAATTATTGACCGTGGTAGTAATTCTGCAGCATTTCGCTAAATTTTAATAATCGTGATAAAACTGATGTCTGAAGATAAAAAAAAATTACAGTAGAACCATGTTTATAAGTAACACGGATATAATTTTACCTTTGTAACTTGACACCTTTGCTCGTTTACTATTGCCGATGTAACGTCAATCGCAAGTTATATAATGTGCACACCTTAAAATAGCGCATTAAGGTTTTTATTACAAATGAACTGGTTTTCGTATTAAATCGGCTTAGCTCGCTATTTTCTGGGCAAAAGATTATTAATTTTACTTATAAAAATGGTAATACAGTAAAACCAGAGACTATTTAAGAGTGTTTTAAATTACTACCAAATATTTTGCTCAATAGGGAAGTAATGTGATCGCATAGAGGTGTAATTAGACCATATTTTTGTTACGACAAATATACAGTTTTTAAGAAATTAAACAGTTTCATTTTAACGTCACAATATTTTAATAATTCTTCATCATGAATTCTTAATAGTAATAAATTCAATTTTTACATTTAAAAATACATTAAATTATCTTATAAATATACACAATATTATTGAGAAAAAAATATTTTGACATAGTAAACATTATGAGGAAACACAATGCGATTTGCTTGTAACAAATTTTTATTTATAATTACTAAACACTTATAAAAATATGTAAGTACAATTGTCAACTTAGTAAAATATGTCAAATTATAAAACCAATTTAGTTAATTAATAGTATAATGGAAAAGTGTAGAATAATCCCGTATATATTATGAGATTATTTTACGCTTTTGTCATCTCCTAGTACTGAATACTAATTAGAAAATTATAGCTTTCTGGTGTAAATGTCAATGAACAATAAATGATTCCGTCGAAAATTACGACAAAGGTAGCTATATAATATAAAAAAAATAAATATAATCGAATTATAAAAATGTAATAACGGAATGTTCAAAATTCTCTTTAAATCTCCATTACAATCAATTCCTTACTGAGGAATATAAACTAAGTCATAATTATAAATCTTTATATGTGTCAAATAAAGTTTAAGTTCTTATTGTATTTACTAAATAATAATGATAAAGAAATTACTAATAACATACATAATTGCCAATGTAGGAAATGTCACAGAGTTGCTATATTAAAGTAAAATTCAAAATATATAAATACTCTCTATAAGTTAAGCTCTTTAAACAACGCCGCATTTTACGTTTCAATCAACAAATATAATACAGCCTCATATAAGAGGATACTTAAGTCTTTCACGATTGCCTATCAGTAATAAAGATATTATCATCGGTTAATTACTCAAGTAGTTATTTTATTAATAAAACTAAGCAAGAACTAAACTTCCGTAGACATTGCTGTCGTCAGGTTATTCAGAGCGGCCATGTGTTAGTAGATAACAAATACCGTCAAGCAAAAAAGTTTAGAGTCAAACGGAAGAAAATATGTTTGGGTAAGAGTATCATATTCATCAAGATATGTAGGGTACTTTAAATCAGGTTCAATGTTCATCTAACATTACGTCAATTACCTACAGTACATATCATAACGTAGTTACCTACTAAGCGCTAAAGTGCCTCTCATCAAAACAGCCGTAAACTATCAAAATGCGATGCCACTCAACAAAATGGGTCGCGTTTAGAGTGGATTTTTTTTAAATTCACAGAACGAAATGTTTCCTCTTTGCTAAAATAACTACGTTATAAATGCTGATCTATTGTTGAACTTTTGGATTTTTATTTTACACTGTCTTATCGGATACAATTTAAGGTCGTAAATTCAACCTATATATCTATTCCTAAACAGTAGATTTAGGATGGGATCACACGGCACTGCCTTGTAGGATTCTTTTGGATTTCAAATGCAAAATCATCCAGATAGAAGGTATATTAAATTTCATTCATTTACTGCACGTATTACATACAAAACAAGTGTGTACGAGTCTACATATAAATATGTATTCGTTGAGGTGTATACTGCAAAAATAAACGTACACGACATGCCGTATGAACCTAGCCTAGTGTGGGAAAACCAGATACACAGCATTAAAGAGTTTCGTTCTTACCTGACCGCCTCTGTTCTGTTCAGGCGTGTGAGGGAGGCGCGGTAGCGGGGAGCGGGGGAGGTGCGTCAGCAAGAGGTAACGGTTTAGCAACACCTATACGTACTACTCCACGCGGAGCCCCCTTCAAAGCCGCCACCGCTTGTTCTAAGCTCGCATCCTCCAAATTCTAAAACAAAATCAACCCTTACAAACTTCAAAAGAGTTTACCTTTTTTTAAATTTGATCAATTTTGTATTCACAGTGCTATACTGAAAAATATTCTTAATGAAATGGTTAAAAAAGCAATTTGCCCAAAGTAAGGTATCTTAATCAAAAGGTTAAAATATTAAAACTGATGAAAATATGGTCTGTAGTAGCGAGAAAGAAAGAAGCTTGAGAAATTCATCAGTCTTGTTAGTTAGGGTAGCTCATTAGTTAGAGCAGTCGCCCGGAATGCGAAAGGTCGTGGGTTCAAGTCCCTTCTCAGAGTACCTTGGGCAAATGGATTTTTTAAGCATTTTTCATTAAAGGTGAACCTTTTCAATACTTAAACTCTCCGTAAATAATTGTTCTAATGCCAATTAACGTTTTTATTTCACATAAGAAATAAAGCTTAAAGCTTACTAATTTAACAACAAACAAACGTATCTGAAATTACCTGATCGTTTACGAAAAGCAGTCGATCGCCGGGTATAAGGCGGCCATCTTGTTGTGCTACGCCACCGGGTACTAAAGACCGAATCACGACCAGCGTATGAGATGGACGCAAAGGATCTTGATAGTCGAGAATTGAAAACCCGAGACCACGTTCTCCTTTCACTAGTTCTAAAAAAAATAACTTCGATATTAAGTGGCAACAAAACCAACCATTTAAATATCATGCCTTTTACAGAAATCATACTATAAATAATAAATAAAATATAATGTAATGGACATATCTATGCTTTAGTAAAATATATGAATCGTATCAAGAATAAGCTTAGGTGAAATTTTTAATGTAAAAACTATAATGAAAGCGACAGAAAATAAACGAAAAAACGAAATTAACTGTCATTCAAAAAATAATATTATTCACAATCGATTCTGTACTGAACCATCAAAAAGTTTAAAATGGACAGAAATTTGTAAATTATAAATAATTGTATTGAATGTCAGTTGATAATATTTCATTTATTTAACATCGATGGACAAGCAAGACATACGGTTTTTAAAGATAACTTGCATTAATAACCACATGATATGTGGAAAATTTACAAAAATGTATATGTCATTTGATATGTTTCAGTTTACCTAAAGAAAGCAACTGAAGGTCAAGTATCATATCTAAGTGTCAACATAAAAATATTATGCTTTAATCCGATTATAAATATCCTTCATGTAAAGGCTATTTTATAACTTAGTATAATCATTGACAGTTTATAATTCGTGATTAATTTAAACCACATGTCGTAAAAGAAATACTATCAAGTATTTAATAATTTATTAATGGATTTGCGTTGCTATTGGATAAGTGTGCATTTAGATAAAAGTATCCAAATATAATTCTCTTAGCTTAATGTATCTTTTAAGAATTCAATAAACAATTTTTAGCCCCACACGAAGTGGTGTTAAGATAAAAATATTTTTTTATAATTTCAGACAATAAGATGTTACAGTCAATATTTTTATTTTAACATTTTGCAAGAAAAATATTTTACAAAAAAAAGATTTAAAAAATAAAAGACAGAAAAATCATACACGCTCATATTATAAATCAAGTCTTAATTTATATTTTTATAGCAGCATAAATAACAAATCGATAACAGAGCTAATTTTGATTGATAGACTTTTTAATCTTGAATCTTGGAAACAAATCATTTATAGGATAACACATTCAAATTTCTAATAAAAAATGGAGACTGAATTTCAGTGCACGTAGAAATACTTTTAATAAATACTACTTTCAAACAATATAATCATTATTGATATTTAGATTTCTAGACAAGGGCAATGCTGCTACCTCTCCAGGCCAAGGATTTTATTAATAAAATCCTACATGTTTTTAACTTAACACATTTTATTCAAGAAATGCCCTACCAGTTTCATTTTTAATTAAAGTAAAAAAAAAATACTGTTTATAATATATTGTCCAAAAAATAAGAGTCAAGCGAAAGTTCAGTGATTGAACACGCGTCGAGGAACCCAAATTACCAGTTACGAATTTTTCAAAATTTTTGGTTTTTATCGAATTAGACAACTTAAAAAATTAAAACACCTGTTTTATAAAAACCAATCAATATGTTGATGATGACTGTATAATAAAAATGGCAATTTTTACCTATGATTTGCGGTTCTGAAGACCACATGGCAAGTCCTGTAAGCGGCTCAAGACTACGTGAGCGCACTTTACCGCCCGCGGATAAAGACCCGCCCTCCTCAGCGCCCGCACCAGCCAGGCTACCGTCAGACTTAGCCTAGATCAAATAACACAACTCAATATCATTTATTCAGTCTAAGCTGTTACAAACACTTGTGCAAGTCTAACTATAGCGTAGTTAGATACGGCGGCAACCTTGTACTGAAACCGACGAGAAGAGTACCTATATCCATAAGCTAATATGTCTCGAAAACGCGTTAGTAAATCATTTTTAAGTTATGGCATGATTTTCGTTATTTTATCCGCTATTAAAACATTTGTCAATGAATAAAAAAGGAGATAATACAAATTGAAGACGTTCGATATAATTATTGACTATGTATAACAGTTGTCATGATGCCCGCAAAGACAGTTGATATCGTAATATTATGGTAGTGCGCGAATGTCTGCTTCTTATGCGAATAGTAGCTTAGTGCATATTTAAAAACACCACAACTTACTATTCAATTTGTACTCCATGTAAGTTTACAACGAACTGAACAAAAGTTTTTGTATTTATTAAAACTATTTTTAATGAGATGGGGTTCGAACCCACGACCTTTGGCAATCCGGGCGACTGCTCCTTTAAGTTTTTTTTAAGCATTTTTCATTAAGAATATTTTTAATATAGCATTGTGAATGCGAGATTAATAAAATATAATAAAAACACATATATTTTCTTAATGATAAATAATATGTTTAATATTGCAGACACTTTGTCTTTTTTGCTCTTATATGACTTTAAGAGCTAATATTGATATCACTTGTTATCTATTCAACACAACAAAAGAAATTATATCAATAAATACTTGAAAATTTTTATCGAATTTATTAATGTTACTTTTAAGCCTGGATGCATATTATCGCGATAAAACATACCTAAATTATCCGTAATTCATAATCCGTAGGTAAAATTGTATGGGGTCGATAACCTCAAAACATATTGTTATCACTATAGCTACTAGACTGATATATTCCCTTAGCATGTTTAACCCATCAGTAAGAGATTATCTCAAACCATTAATCACATTTTTTAGAAATCTACAATAAATACAAATTTTCAATTATCCAACTTATGAAATTACCAAAACAAAGTATGTTAATAAAACCTTATTTAAACCTTAGGAAATGAATTGAAGAAAAATATTCTTAGTTATCATTTACAGATAATTATTTATAACCTATCTTTTCATCACATTACATACACTCACAATGGTTATATCAGTTTTTCGTAATAATATGTAATCTACCTATATAAATACCTATTTTGTTGTACCTTCACCAACATTGCAGTTAAAGATATGGTTTATGTCAAATTTGACAATATCAGCCATGCCTACTTTAATATTGACTTTGGAATGGGTTGCAGCATAGTAAGATTATACACCAATGAGTTTAATAACTAGAGAAGCAATCCCATACAGTAGACGCGCCAAAAAGCGTAGCACTTTTTCAAAATCAGAAAGTACCTTTGCAAATAACATTATTTTTATGGTGTAGTATGTTTGTCTCCCTCATATCTACCATTAAACTTTAAACTGAACAAAGACAAAATATATGCGAACGACAGAATGAACGGAAAATTTTACTCCTTATGATGAATGAACGTAGATACGAGATATGTATAAAGTAATTAGTAAAATTACTGTAACTTTGAAGATTTCTTTAATATACCTATTCAAAATCGAGAAAATCGTCGTTCGCTGTCTTTTCACTTTTTTATAATTTATATTATAAAACTTAAAAATAAAACTAAAATATGGGTGCATAAAATTAGTCTCCAATACACTACACAAAAACTACAAAATTAGTTAGAAATTGTTTCAAGATACGTGAATATAAACAGATTCCATTCGAAAGAGTATGAAGGAGGAAGCACTCAAAAACTTTCAAACTTTGCACATACTTATATTTAGTCTCGATGGCGATGCATAATTAGCTAAGCTACATTATTTTAATATCTAATATAGAGGGCGCCCAAAATGTGACCGGATATTTTATCAATCACGAGTGTATACAAACAAATATCAGTATAATGTTCACTTTCATGATATGAGCATCAAACGGTTGGCTAAGAAAAAATTAAAATACTTAATTCTAAATCCAATATGGCGGATCACCAATGTTAGTGAACTAGTTACCTCTCATAGAGTGGATACCAAATGAAAATGTTGAAATCGAAAAGATCATGATGAGAAACTCTTTTTATTATAATGGCAATAGGTATGGCGGACGAGGGTCGACTTGTGAACAAATATGTTAAGTCCAGATTAACTTTATGAGAAAATTACCGTACAAATATTGCCAGAACATCTTCCTCTTAAAAAAAATTTTTATCCATTATTTTCAAACATAAATATCAATATAGCATGGTGAATTCAAACAAAATATTCGACAGGGCATGTTTTTTATATTCTCTATTAATAAAAATTGCCAAGGTACCTCTAAAATTCAACTTTATTCAATATTTTTTCAGTTATAGTGATAACGACCTCCGTAAGAGAGTGGTTCGCATACCATTTTCAGGGTGTCCCCGTCTCTGAATTCCCGGGTTTGATTTCGGTCGGGTCAATATAGAAAATGAAATTGTCTCGGGTTTGGGTGTTGTTACCTTGATTGTCTCAGATACTACATAATACGTGTAATGCTTTAGCTACTCATATTAATTTTGTATAATAACAATAGTATAATTTGTATAAACGAGATATGTATTTGAGAAATTTTACTTAAAAATGCTTTTTAAGTTTTTATTCCAGACAATACGATATCATCTGTATTTAATTCCCTCGCTTACTAGCTCGTTGATTGCGGCTTATTTTCCCATACGGCCGATTTCCGACTTGAGAAAAGTATAAAAATTCAACTGATTATACTGAATAACTTAACTTTTTTGCATGTTACAAGGCAAAAAGTCCTAATTTTATCAAACTGTTATCACACTGACCATTTAAAAAAATAAAATCAGAAACGAAAACCTGTTTAAAGTACAGTTTGAGACATGCTTAAATTTAAATTCTCAATTCAAAGACCGGGTGTTAATCTACATACAGTCAATAAGAGTAGTAACTTTGAGCACCATTATAAACAGAGATAACAACATGAATGTAACTTAAATTTAAAAAGTTCAGCAGTAGAATCAAAAGGAATATTAATTTTTAAACTTAATTAAGAGAAGACGTCTTAGTTCTTACTTAGTTAGTAGTAGCTTCACTTTTCCGGCATGAACTGCGTATCTAGATATATTAATATCATTGAATAAACAACAACTTTAACCAGCGAATCTTAGGTGGTTTTAGTTTACAGTTATTGTTAAAGAGAGTTAGTGCAACAACGCTCCATTCTCCAGAAAAGGATATAATTTTTAGGTGATTGACAATACCTTAACTAGTGTTGCGGAGGGCGGGGCTAATTCTAATGCGGGCTGTGGTTTAGGCCGCGCGCACACCATGCACACCTCGCTCGATAGCTCCTTCAATATCGATACCACTTCCAAGTGATTCATGCCCAACAGACGATGACCGTTTACCTCTATACAATTAAAATTGTTAATAATATACATTGAAGTATAAAGTATAATTTCCTTATTGCTATTAGAGTATATGCCAATTTCGTTTCGATACCTCTACCATAGGTGTGTTAGTTAATTTTCAATTTAATTTTCACTATTCTAAGAAGTAATCCGTTAAAGGGGAGGAGTGTGACAATGATAGAAGGTGTCCTGAATATTGTGACGTCACATTTCAAAATCTACCACTTAAACGTATTTTTATGGCCTTATCGTTTTTGAGTTATAAGGGCACAGATATCGCGTAACCCAACAGTGAATTTTGGTAAATACCTTAGGAAAAATCTGTTGCTATTTGACGCAACTCAAGTTACGACAAATACATATTTTTGAAATAACTTTTAAAACGCCATAATGAAAGTATATACTAATTTCAGCTTATGGACATCTGGACGTTATGCAGCAGTTCAATCAACAAAATTCTATAGTGGCTTAAGAATCAAAAGGCGTAAATGGAAATGGAAATTAAAAACAAATTAAATACAAATGAGAACTATTAATACTACAAAGATGAAATGAAAATGTGAAAATCACATACCCAGCAGCTCATCTCCCGGACGATGTACACCTGCACGGCCAACTGGTCCCTCGGGTAGAACAGATCGTACGTAATGATGAGGGCGTACTTCTCGACCACCCTCCACATCAACGGTACCTTCCAACGATATACCTAGACCACCACCGCCGCGTACCACTACACCCACTACGATCTCTACATCTGAACCTATGAAAGAGTACCGGAGAAAAAAAAAATGAGTGTTTAAAATTAGCGATATGGTTTCGCTTATTCTCTAATCAAATTATAACGTTATGTATTTTATAATTCATTCTTGTGTATTTTATTTCAGTTCCATAAATCTTTTTCAGACAGTTTACACATCTTTGTTTAGTAAAGAACTAAACAAATTGTGCTAATTATATCAAAATTAAATGCAGTTAATTGCTCATTGGTACCTAGGCCATGTTTTTCGGATTTATTGTTTTTGATTCCAATTATTTTTTTAAATAAAATTATAATTTGGGAAGGACGATGTCTATTGGATCATTTTGTTTTCATACTACTATATACTACGTTATTATTATATACATATATGTTACTATTTCCAACTTATTTCATAATTTTGTCAATAACTGATAGTGAAAACATTAGAAGGATGATGCGTAACGACTTTCAAAAATAATTTATTTCGCGTAACCCGTTTCGGGGGAGCGCCAAAATATCATCATATAATATTTACTTACAAATAAAAAAATCTTTTCATACACGTTATAGTCTAGGATAGGACGGACATGCTTAATTGAAATAAAATAGGAGGGGAAATTTCGTATAGTGCCCTTCCCTCTTACCCGGAAGGGCGCCATACGAAGTTTCTGCCCCGGTTAGTAAAAATCGTAGATCTGGACCTGACCTGATGACTTCTCTAAGGAACAGAACAACTTACCGAGTATAGCTTGCCACTTGCGCTTGATAGCGTCCTTCTGTTCTTGCGTGCGCGGCATCTCGAAGGGGGGGTGAGGGCGTGACGCGGGGGGAGTGGGCGGGGTGCGGGGAGGGGGCGGAGACAAATCCTCCATCGCGCTCTCGCCGCTGCTATTACAAGAAATAAACTCAACTCGTTATTATTTATTATTCTTCTTCGGTAATAAAGTAATCCGTGAGACTGTGAGTAAGACTATTCTAATGAATGTCTAAAATGAATAATGCCACATTAAACTAATGACTATATTAATGAACGTTTGTGCAACTAGCTGTTAGAGTACGAAAAAAGCACTATCTGTCAGGGAGCTATCACTTATTTTATTATCTTTACCAAATATAGCAAATTTATACCAATATTATAAAGGTTTCTTTGTTTGAATGGTTCTTTGCATTAAATAGGCTCCGAAACTATTTCCGTCACGTTCTATCATACGCAGGTGGCGATAATTTAAACGCGCTAAGCCGCGGGAAAACAGCTTGTATATCAATAAACAGTAAATTAATAAAGTGTTATGTATTTCGTATCTTCTCAGTGTCATTAATTCTTTATGATAAATAAAATTTTTGGTGTTTTTATTTATTTTTAGGAATATTTACGGATAAAGATGGACATAAGTAAGATAAATTATTCATATGTTACTTGAAAATCTCCACAAATAGATAGGTATATTACTTACGGGCTGTGTATATGTGTCATCTGTATGTCATGTTCAGCGTTGGGCTCGGGTCGATGCATATGTAGGAAGGGATTGTGAGGAGTAGCGGCTGCTGCACATTCCCCTGCCGCTATCGCCTGTTGCAGCTGTTCGAACTTCGGCCCACGTAAATATCTACAAAAAAAAATACATATTGTTATGTATGGTACTCTAATCATCAGCAGTCAATTAAATGTTCCCATTCCTGTGGTACAGGTAATGTTTATGGCAGCACTGGATTTCTCCACTGTGTGCTGAGTAATGCATACCTTAGTAGTTCAACATACTGCAATATCAAGCTTTAGAAAATTCTTGCAGATTTTTATCACGAGCTCTTCGACATCATAGTTTTTGGTTGATGATAAAATTTGTCAGTTCTGACGTTCCGCGACCAGGTATAAGAAGCATCTTCCATCAAATATGTACGAGCTCTTGACCTTTGCAACCGAACCCGCAAATCGTATACCATCGAATTAATTTTGTTGTATATAATTTCAGAGCTTCGATGTTATACAAAACAAAAAACGATTTAGCTGGTTTTGAAAGTAGACCACTCACCTCTCCAATTCCAACGTGACCACGTTCCCACTTTGTTTGAGAGCATCCACCGCGCGCTGGTTGGACTTGCCAGCGAGAGAGACCCCATCGACGGCGACGATGCGATCGTTAACCCTCACGCGACCACTCAACGCCGCCGCACTACCCGCCGTCACAGACTTCACGAATATACCCGATAGTTCTTCTTTCTCGCAAACATAACCTGTATTTGCATTTTGCATTATAGAGTAAGCATTTCTGGTCAAAAACACTAGTTCTCTCAAGCATTGAGATATCTACATTAAACAGAGCTTGGAAACACGCCACTGGTAATGATCACGGTTGCATATATACCACTTTGTAACTTTACAAGAAATTACTCAGTAGAAATACCAAGCAACACTATCCCTGCAAAACAGATATAAAAAACGTTTGAACCTTGGTACTCGTATAAACGCCACCATTTTTCAGACTTAGGTATACGCCCTTTTAGAATGTGTGGAAGCCAACAAAACTACATACTACATCAAACCATTTACATCTTCGCTGACAAACAAGCATGCCGTACAATCGAACATAATAAATTCAAAATTGGTAAAGTACTGCGTTGACAAACTTTATGAACTAGGGCAAAGGAATAAAATCATTCTCAAATGGGTACCAGATTACTTCGGCATCGAAGGTAATGAAATAGCGGACGAACTGGCAAGAGCTGAAGCACAGGTAGAACATAGGTAGCCCTGAACTCATCTGCTGTATTTCAAAAAACCTTGCGATGCAAATTTTACAGGACGACCTTCAAGGTTACATAAAAAAATACTGGCAAAATCAACTAGAATTAAATTACGCTAACTCTGTTATTGAAGGATATCCGCAAAAAATAACTGAAGCTAAGCGATCGGATGATTAACGATCATCAGAGCGATTGTATGAGCCTTAACTGGTCACTGCAAATTAAACAAACACCAACTTCATATGGAATTAAATGACACTGATATTTGTAGATAGAGGCGTGAAACACCAAAACATCCTCTGTGTGAATGTGGACCGCTAATTCATAAACGGAGCATACAACTGGAACGACACATAATCAGCCCAGAAGATCCAGAAGATATAAAAGCTCTAAAAGCCAGAAACATTATAGACTTTCTCAGGGCTACCAGGCTAAGATTGATTTTGGCGGTGAGTCACAATAGATCTTTCAGGTTGCAGTAACTATATTTCCAAAAGGAACTGCATAGTCCCTGAAAATTAAATAATAACAATTCCAATAGAGGTTTTAAAGATGTTTGAGATTATCACCGTTTAATTAAAAAGAACCCTAGACACAAGATTGACGAGTAGCAAGATAAAAAATTGCTTTAAGGCACTTCTAACAAAGAGATTAAATGTTGTTGGTAAATATATATTTTACGCGTATAAACTACAGGTTTAAATATCAAAATAATTGTGTAGCTCAAAAATTGTATTGCATAGATAACGAAATGTTGGCACATCGCAATAGGTTGTATTATATTTTCTGCGAATTATTTAGAGGTGTGTTATATCAGATTTGTTATGGAAATCGAATCTTAAATAAACTGTATAGAGGATCGTGGATAAGCAGTTACTTGTGGACATTAGTATGTTTATATTTACGTTTTAGAATCTAACTAGCTTTTTTGAATGTTATCACCACAGTAATATAAAATGTTTTTGCGAAGGTATACAAGAACGGAAAAAAAACAGTTGTGATTAGTTCAACAAAATAAAAAGTTTCATGTGACTATCATGCTGAGTAATCACTTACCGGCAATGGTAATTCCTAAACCATTTTCATCTTTCTTCAATTGCACTGTAAATCTATCTACTTCCGGCGATTCAGCATCTATGTAAAAAAACAATACAAAATGCTCATCAAAATTTTCTTACTCATTATACTTTTTCATATTCCACTTAAGTTACTCATTCATCGTAATTCTTCTATAATTTATTTAAATGTTAAGTTTTGTTGCACATATAGGTAGATACATTAAGTATATATATGCAAACTTATGTTCGTGTTTTATGTTATAATTTATAATAATGGAATATTAACTTCTTATAATAAGTTTTCATAAATAAAGGAACTTCATAAGGTAATTAAAAACTAGTACATATGTTCATAATTTTTTCGATTTACCAGTTTCAGGAGGAGGCGTAATAGACTGGTCAAAGACAAATCGTGTGGTCGAAGCGAGTGAAGGCAATGGCGTTGGCTGCGTGTGGAACACTTGCTCGAATCCAGCTTCTAGTAGGTAACGATCTAGCGCCTCGGGATCTGACAATAGCCTGTAAAGGTATTGATAATACTCATGGTTGATTTTGAAATGAAATGGTAATCCTAGACCAGATAGATTCACACAGTTTAGCAGCTGCGGCTGGGCTGTACAATGAGTCACTTCGATCCTAAAGGAAAACGGGGATCCATGAAGGATTGGCCTAGGTCAAGGGTCGCCAACCTTGAGTAAGCGGGCATGCGTTATTTATTTCTCAAAGACAAAATGGAGGGTCGGCAAACTTCGATGTGAAATTGCGGTTCTCAAATTCCATTTAAAAAAAAAACAACTATTTTAAATACGAACGACTTATACTAACTGTGACTGAGTGATAAAAATTTAAAGTCGTTTAAACTATATATCTCAAATATAATATTGAAAGGAAATCTCTCAGTGGCTTTTTAAAAACTGTGAAATTTTATAAATTGTAGATATTAGCTATTACATTTCATAACTCCAAGCCTAAGTCGATCCCACAGTATAGACGACTTAGAGCAGATTGCTCAGTCGGTCTTTGATGGGGAAAGCCTGGAAGATTTGCGTAATATCGCCCAAAATTCAAATCCAATTTCATTCATCATAGATATGTATTTAATAATGTATTGAAATATTTTAATGATGATAATCTTCATGAGAACTGAATCACAAATTCTTTGATATTTGAAAAAATTTAAAGTATGACACCTCGTTTGTCACTTAAATAATAAAATACAGCTGACCCGGCGAACTTCATACCGCCATATTTTATTTCCCCAGCCGCAACTGAGGAATTTTCTTAAATTCAAACCTTGTCCTGAATGATAGTAAGGAACCCATAAAGAAAAGAATCATCCAATTTGATGCAGTCGTTCAGAAGTTATACGCGTACATGCAATAAAAATTATTCAAACGAAATTATATCTAAATACAAAAAGCATCCCGCAATTTGTGTCCTTAAAACAATCAATTTTAATCAATATATCCACCAAATACAGCATGAATCCCTATTCAATCCCACTATACATTGTTTTGTTAGAAAACTCTAAAGGTTTTGGCAGCGTTTTCTAGGAAAGCTCCTGATCGGCTTAATTTTTTCCGACACGTTGAACTGATATCGTTGTATTATCGTCAATTTGCACAAAACCTAAGCTTATATTATACTAAAACTTTTCTCAGGGTTATTGAAAACTGTGTGAAATTCGTTGAGCATTTCTCTAGTTTTTTTCAAGACAAGATAAACGCAGGGGAGGGTTAACGGGGGTTTTATAATATACAGACGTCATAAAATCTAAGAACAATGGTAAAATTTATCAGACCCAGATGGGGATTTTTTTGAGTATTTTTCTATAGAACAAATAACAACATAGCATTGCTAAACGCAAAATTTATCAAATACCCAAGAGACTTCATTTGAAGTCGGGCTGTAAAAACATGCCCAGCAAATGTTTCCTGAAATTGTAAACCATCTTTGTAGTATTTAGAATTATTTATCGATTTTTTTGGGGACATTCTTTTTTTTTTTCAATTATATACCTCAAGATTTATAATCAAGTTTTCTATAACATGATGTGCAAAGACTTCACCTAGCGGGCACGATAGGCGCCGAAGAGGGTTGAGCGGTAGCCGGGTCAGCGGCGCGAGCGACCACCAAACGAACACGAGAACCAGACGCTCGTAAAACTCCAGCCACCTGTTCCGAACCCATCTCTATCAAACTAACCTGCCAATGAATAATATGATCAATAAAGTATTATATTTACTTCTACTTATGAATTCCTAGACGTACCTACACCTTATATCAAGTAGTCATATTTATTTTAGATAAGTTCGAAATCTCAGTCCTTACATTGAAATAAATTTCTTGTTATTTGTAGTTTTGTTATTAATGAAGACCATTCACCAAGCGAAAACCCAATATTTAACATATTAGGAAAGTAAGATACAACTAATGTCAGTTTCTGATATATTGCACATAGAGCGAAATTTCGAAGTGCGGCAAATATCGTACAATCAGAATCGCCTAGTATCCTAGTATAACGAGTGTGAATGAGACGGATACATAATAAGTTGTATTTTACATCTTGTGGTTATTGTAACAAGGCTCACTATAAATGTTATTCGTACATTGGCCATCGTAGGAATTAGTAAGTCTGCTTTGCGCAACCGAAGTTTTCTAGGTAGAGGGAGGGGAGCGGAGGCAAGAGTTCCCAGTTATCGGGGGGGCGCCAACATCATTCAAAAAATTTTGCTTCACAAAAATGTTTTAAACTTCACTCATATTATACACTTTGATGAGATGGACATGAAATAAAATATAAAATTCAACTATAATCCAATAAAATACAGAAAAATGAAAAAAAAAAAGGCTTCACGGTGAGGGGTTGGGTGTAGGGCGCAATATCTAGTTTTGACAAACATTGTAGATCCTGGGCCTGGTCACATTTCTACTTATATGTGTTAATAGGGAAGCATTTATAAATACTGTTTCCTATGTTTAAAATAAACATACATCTCCTATTTGTAAAATATGATCTCCCGATTTAAGGCGGCCATCTCGATCTGCCACTCCGCCGGCTAATATTGTCTTGACAATAACGCCGCTTGTTCTTGCTCCAATGATACCTAAAATAAGCCTTTTTTATATATTAAATAACACACATTGCTCAGATGCCAAATTAAGTAGCTAAAGCACTTTTATTACGGAAACATAAAACAACGACGGTAAAAAAAGACTCAGACCCAAGTCAATACAGGAAAGTTAATTTTTTACATTAATCCGAACCTCGGACAGGACAACCCCTTGAAACTGGCGTCCGAACTACTCACCCACAGATATCGTCAAAACCATTTAAAACAAATTCTCACTTATAACTTATCAAATAAAAACACTGTGTTGAATTTACAAACGGTTTTAAAACCTTCAACATATTAAATAAACATTATAACTACTTCTCACCAAAACCAAGACCAGTGCCATCATTCACAAGGTTAATAATTTCAACTTGAGCCCAATCTCCAGCAACAACATTGTGTGAGGTAGAAGCTAAGGAGTCATCATTTCGTGATAAATCCAGAATCCCACGACTCTGAAATAATTTACATACAACATCAGCTATTTTTTATGGATAGTTTTATATGTACTTAAGCGATTGCCGAAATTAGTGAACTATTGTTCATCATATTAATATTACATTGATATATTTTATTATTTCTTTCTATATTTTTCTTAGAACACTATCTATGCTTTTACAATCATAGTACCTAGTAAACATGTTAGCATCATAATTTAATCATGATTTTCGTCATCATCATGATCATAATGCCAAAAATGTTCTAGGTTCTAACCTAAAACATTCTAGATGTAGTATTGGCCATTATAAATATGCGGTGGACTACCCATCCTGGCATTCTTCAGTGAACAAGCGATAATAGTGTCGTGAAGTGAAATAGTGAAGCTGAAGTGTGAATTTTGTAATGAGATTATTTTTGTAATTTTGTTGTGTTAAATAAAATCGGATTGTGAACTAGAATTGGCATTAATTTTTATCCCGAAACCTAAGTCGAAACACTATTATATCACAGATATATTGCTATTGTATGAGTGTAAATACTGTTTATAAGTTAGTAAGAATATATTAAATAACACTCTTGTGTTGTAACCAATTGACCAATTAGCTCAGTTTTGAACTGTAGATATAATGTTCAATTAATTAATAATTCAATAAAGGTCACCCAATTGAACAGCTGTTTTAACCAATTGACAGATAGGCAAATACCTGCTTTGGAGACATATTTGAATCCACTGATGCATTATCTAAGCCAATCATGCGTTCATTATCAGAGCCAGAGCCAAATTCAAGGCTTTGCGGTGGTGATACTTGTGGAACGCGCTGCTCTTCCTCTCCCTCATGACCACCATACAAATTACGAGCTTGCAATGCCAAATCTCCTGTAACATTTGAGTTTTTTAAATTCAAAATCATTCTATAAAACACCTTTTCAACCATTATATAAATTGCTGTAAACTTGATTATACATTCGAAAAGCCCATATAAGTCCCATTAAATCCCATGTAAATGTTGTCATTAATGATCAAAGTAAATGAACAAACTATTTTTGCAAAAAGTTTGTTCACCTTTTTTTAAGATTGTATGGAAAATGATTCCCTTTTTATTCCAACTTAGAGAACACTAATCTCAGCTGTTTAGTAGTTAGTAGTAGTCTGGTAGTATTACATAAACATAAAATTTAATCAGGGGCGTAGAAATGACATAAGTAAAAAAAAACTAATAAAGCATGCAAAAAATACATTTTGACTGGAATAATTTGTCCAATGAGTATAAATTTTATCACTCATGAAAACCATTACAAAATGTTTGTTGATATTTTAGGATGACCTTAAGAAATCCAAAATAAATTTGTATACAAGTTTCTAGCTTATTTCATCTCATTCTATCCAATAAGCTCATACTGCCTGCTACCTGATTATTAAACTAGGCATCCCACATTGCTTTAAGAGCTATTAATAAATTATATTTATAGCTCTTTTGGGGCCAAGCCCTCTCTATCTTTTAAGAATAAAGAGTATGTACCTAATACAGTGGGCCTCAAGCCTGAGGGGTGTTTATGCAAAAACAAGTTATTTCCTAAGGCTATTCATATATACTTATTTCCAGTATATTCTAATTTTGTCATTAAACAATAGCAATTTATTTTAATAATTGGCAAATCACTTAAAAAGATATATAAGCGAAATGCTTTCTGACATATGACTAATAGTCATATATTATTTTTGTAATCTAATAAAAATATCTTTTATGTTTAATATTAATATTAATTATTTCCATAACAAAACATTTACAAAATAAATGTATAAAACAAAAATAGTTACTACCTGCTGGAGTTATATCAAAATCACTTGGTAGTATTGAAGGATGATGAGCTACTTGAGTTGCTAACATTCCCACAGAATCGTGAAGGGTTGCTATGCTCTTGAGAATGGGACTTTCAAGCAAGTTGATGAGCATGTTTAAGTCATCACTTGTAGCAGCCTATAAAAAAAGAGCTCTTATAATTATTTTGCGACAATTATTATGCACTATTACCACAACATACCCTTATTGAATATTAATGGATATTTTCAAACAGCGATGAGATTGTGAAATGTATTTATATTCTAAATATTTAGTTACCTTTAGTTTTGGATCGTCACTTTGATCGACAGCAGTTTTAACACTTTCTAATTGTTGTAATGCATTTGAAATGTTGACACCGAGATGCATGCTAAAATAAATGATATTTTTATTTAAAACTGTTTAAACTGAAAGATAAAAACATACATGAAACCAAAACTGTTAACAACACGTACATTAATGATTTTTTAACAAGAATGAAATAATTTTGACCGATGTTGTAACGATCTGAGAATGTGCACAAAATATCAAAATAATTTCAGTTTCACAACAATAGCATATATAAAACAGATTAATGCAGACACTACGTTTATCCACAAACTAAAACCATCAGTTATCAACTCATGTAATTTGTTGATGCCATCAACTCCACAGATTATATAGTTTATCAACTCATGCATCCACAAACAGACAACCAGTCCCAGTATTATGTATTATCTTATCTTATCTATGCAACCAGCGTTGCCATGTCTTAAAAATTTATAGCGGTGATTCTACCAAAAAAAAACAAAAGGTACAGTTGGTAATATTAAATAAGTCACATTTGACATCTATAATAGTGAGGGTCGTGCTTAAAATATTCGATTAATATAACGAATCAATATGGTTTTCAAACAAAAGTGAATCAAAAGTATTGTACAAAAAATAATATCAATAGGCTTGTTGACAACTTTTTATTTTATTTCATAAATAAATAGTCCATTAATGTCTGAGAAATAATTTAGAAGTAACAACATGTCTACGATCAATAGTTTCGGAGATACGGTCCTATTTTTGTGGAACTGCTGCTAGTCGGCCGAAAACGATCCCTACAAATTTAAGACACTACGTGACGTCACACAGTTCTACAGTTGTAAAAAACATATGGGCGTCTGGGCAATCTTTGTAATATCTTTGTTATTTATTTAATTTAATGTTTTATATATTTTAGCAAATTTTTATAGTATACCTATTTTCCCTACTTTTTTCAAGTATTCAAAGTGTAATATCTTCCAAATAAGTGACTTCAAATTTGTTTTGTTAAATATTTAAATGGTTCATATTTTTCGAATGTATAACAATAACCTGTATTTTCACTCAAAGGACACAAGCATATTATAACCACTATTATCAATATATTCGTTATGAGACTATCACTACTATAAAATAATCGCTTCATTGTAATGAGAACATTGCACAACTATATCGTTTTCTAATTGTGAAACTTTCTAAAAATTCATATCATAATGCGTCCAGCATTACAAGGTCACTTCATAGTTGAGACTGATAAATATCAAAAGTCGAGTGGTTCGCACGCCGATTTCAAGGTATCACCATCTCTGAGCTCTCGGGTTCGATTCCCGGTCAGGTCAATGTAGCAAAAGGTCTTTTTTTACTATCTCGGGTCTTTGTTTTGTGTCTAAAAAAAGTCTAAGATGTAGGAAAGGTCAAATCAGGTCAGGTGTAATTCAAGTAGAGTATATCCAAGTTAACGAACTAGCCGAAAAGTTTGGTTACGCGTCTTTTGAAAGTTCCAAACACAGTCTAAACGTCAACTATTCTAACTTGTCCGTCAGTGCCCGAGTATGTTTTAGTAACAATACCTTTGGGCCAGTAGTTTCTCGGTTGCTCTTCGTCGCACATGATCACCACATCACCAAACTTCAGAGGCTCGTACTCTTTTAGCCACCGCTTCCATACTAAGTCAGCAAGCCTCTGTGATTGGCGCCATGATTTTCGGAGTAAGTCCGAGTCAGTAAACCCATCAACAGTTTGTGTGGTGAAGTGAGTTTGTCTTCTAAAAATGAAATGATTCGGTGTCAGTGGTACGTCATCATTGAGGTCAAGAGGTACGTGGGTTAGTACGTGGGTTGGCTATTGACAATGTGTTCAGTCTCAGTCAATAGAGTCATTAGAATCTGGTCCGTGGTAACTTGCTCTTTTAAGCAGGCCCCGAGTGCGGCCGTGCCGAATGCGTCGAATACTGTAAAATTTTTTGAGACTGTCAGAGTCTAAATTGTTAATATGTCTTGACAGTTCGTTGTCAGCTCCTTTTTTTTCTTTACCTATATGAGTTGCATTTTTATGATATTGTTTGATGGGCAGTTTTGTAAAATTGTCGCTTGGATGAAGAATGTTGGGATTCTTGACGTCGTTGTTTAAGAAGGGGACAAGTTGAAAAAGATTACTGTCTCTATCGACAATACCTTTCTGTTGTAACGTGTAAATATCATTAGTAAATGTCCTTGCTTGACTGTCTTTAATCAAACTCAATTCTGCTTGTCTGATTTCTACAGCCTGCAACTTTTCGTTATGTCGCTCTTTCTTTTTTTTTGTGTAATCAGCAATTCAATTCAATTCAGCAATCTCGCTTACTCGATGCACAACCTACATCAGCTGAACCAGTGCTGCCTCTGCGCCGCAGCTATCGTATAGTACGACCCCCTCAAAGACTAATGTTCTTCTTCTTCTTTTATTAATGGCTTATCTGCGCATTTCACACAATTCTGCCAATGTCAAGTGAATAAATTTATTTCTACATGTAAAATGAAAATGAAACGAATGAAAGATGGCGATGATAAGTTTTTCGTGAAATATTTTGATCAGACATTTAACTCGATTTGTGACATTATACTCTGATTTTACTTTGACAGTACTAAGACTAATGTTATAATAACTCTTTTGTATTGACATCTTGTTTATTCCCTTTTTATGTAAGTGTGACATCTGATATCTTTCAGTTAATGAAAAGGTCTTACATTGTGCGAAATGCGCAGATAAGCCATTAATAAAATAAGAAGAAGAAGAAGAAGTAAATATGATATTTTATTTCCAAAAAATAATATATATACTTTAACCTTTTAAGTACTTCGCTAGACACGCAATGTCGAGAACATCAGTGAATCCACAGAGTTCAGTAGTCCTCTTAAACTGACTGTAGAAAAGAAACCACTCCTCTGGAGTACCGGCAAAAATGGGTAGGTCTTTACTGCCTGACTGACGTGCTAGTAACTTATCTATCTGTGATGTTTGTGTCGTTTCTGTCTGTTTTGGCGCATGCTGCGCGGGGCTATGACATCTAGGTTGTCTGTAATTCATATTTGGTATAAAGGTTTCTAGTGCTTCTATACTCCATAGCATTAGACAGAAGTTAATAATTAGGTTCTATTTATGGTATACTTTGTGACAATATATTAACAATCATGTTACTCTTAAGACTGACGGCTTATTTGCTACATATCCACTTAAATACCAGCTGCTATACTTAACAGGTGTCGTTTAAGTTATCTGTTTAACAAAATTATGAGTATTTGACTAACTTAAAAGATTTAATAACTTTTACAATAAGTGTTCATCTTAAAGAACCTAGAGAAGCAGGGTTGGATAGTTTCGGCACGATTCTCATGTCATTATAACTCTACCAAATTTAGAACGTTGCTTAATCCCTTCAAACGTTTCGGTAGTACAGCTTTTTAATTTTGTCAGATTATGATGTATACATAATAGTCAAAATACGTAATCTGAGGGTATGTTCCGATATACACTGCGACCACTGAACAGTATGACGTCAATTTAGTATACTGGAAGCCCGTTCCTTTATAGCTAGTTATACTGGTGACTTTTTAAAACGGAACGCAGTCCAGTATACTGTTAATCCTATTTTTTGGCGCCATTTTCAAATTTGTTAATGCAAGGTGAATATAAATATAAAGATTCCCTCTTTTCAAAAGAAAATTGGAATATTGTATAAAAAAAATATTTATCAATTAAATCCATCTTACGTTTATTTATACGTAAGTATTTTTTTTTTGTTTATTTAGAAACTTATCATTTTCTGATTCTGTTTCGACTGATCACGTGATCAAAATCACTGCGAGCACCTTACCTCGAAATCGTAGACAGAGAAAGCAATAGACTAATGGTATGTTCTATCTCATTCATCGGGAAATGAAATGACTTATTACAATTTTCATTAGTTAAAGTGAGATAAAAACATTATTTGTTGTCCTAATCGATGTGGCCGGTTTTATTGTTTGGCACCAGGCTTGTTTGGCACCAAAACGTCAAAATTTTAGGCATAGAAATTGTTGGACTCAAATAATATAGAAAAAAGTTGGAAAGAAGTGTGTTTAAACAATATTTTATATGATGTATTGAGTTTATAATTAAGAAACGTTACTTGCAAATTAAAATAATGGTTAAGTGCAGTGTTATATCTTGCAAAAATAGATCCGAAAGGAATATTGTACGTGTATCATATTTCAGGTAAGTTAGAAGCATTTTGTTTATATCTTCGTCAAGGTAAAATTTCTCAATGCCATAACTGATGTGAATTTTATTAAATACGACACATAACAAGCTAAAAATATTATTAAATAAGTTGAATAAGAATATAACCTCAAATCATTAAGGCTGACATCTAAGTGCTTAAAATCTCCCCTCAAAGTGCTTTAAAATTAAATTATCAATATTCTGTTAAACAAATATCAAAATGTTTGAAACTCAACTATTTTGTAAGTACATAGAACTACAAAATGCGATTTAAAAAAACAATTGGGCAGTTTTTAAACTTTTGATTAAAATAAATCCAAGAAAACCTAAAATATATTAGCATTTAAAGCCTCTCAGTAAAGTTTTGCATGATTATATTAAAATACCGCTTAATTTACTGTAATGTGATGTTAAATTACATCTTCTAGACTTAATTGAATATGATTTCTGTATTTGGAATCACTAAAAAATGTGCTATGTATTTGATTAGAAATGTTTGAGTTTATAGTAGATAATATAACTATTTTTATCAATAAATCTCGGCCAAATATGTTTTTTCTTCATAAAATATTGTTATTCCATATGACAATCATATTATTATCATAATGATGACCTCAATTTTCCAAATTAAAATATGAAATTAAAAAAAAAGTGTTATAGTAATTGTGTTTATATTTTAGATTTTCATCACATGAACATGAATTTCAAAATTGATTGATAAATGAAACTGAACTTCAAAATTGGATTGAATCTTGCGGAAGACCAAATTGTAAGCCTTCAAGACATGCCAGGGTTTGTTCAATGCATTTTGAAAAACATTTATTTTTAAATGTAGGAAGACAGACAACATTGAGTACATAATAAGGATTTTACTAAATAGATATAATAGTTAAATACTTATTATACAAGTAAGGTATTTATTACTTAACAAGTCCACTTTTTATAATACCTTCCTCAAAGGGATATACACAATGTAACAATAAGAATGGTAAGTATAGAAAAGTCTGAAACTATAAGATATTGTATGTTAGTAGTAAGCAGTTAATACTTTGAAACACAATTCCTAAAATATATAAAATGCATTATCTTCATATCTTTTCAATTATTTTGTTGGTTTCATACAATATTAATTAACCGTGTAAAACCTTTTTAGTTTGAGAATCTAAACTGGACATTTTGAAAAATAAAATATACATAATTTATACTAGATACTGATAGTCTAAGTTTTAAACTTTTAATGTTATTATTAAAGAAGAATTGCCTTCATTAAAAATTAATCCTATATCTCTATACTTGCTAGGAAATGTTAAATATTACTACGTCAGTTTAAATATTTGATTTGTTCTTGGAATTATAGTTTTTTTGCACTTGTTAAATAATGTTTATTTACCATGCCATAATTATTCTTCATAAATATCATAACTTATTTGTGCCATAATCTAATCTTCAAGTATTATCTGTGCTATTCTTTTAGAAACACACTGATTATGATTTGTTTGTATCTTTATAATAAAGAAATGCTAGAAAATATATTGTGAAATAATATCGGCTATGTTTCTTTTTTTTTAAGAATTCTTGTCTATGATTTAAGAGTATTGTTAGCTAACCAAAATATGTTTTTTTTTTTATTTTGTATTAAAATATAATAGTTACGTATCATATCATATATAATATTATAAAAATTAAAGGCTCCGAAACCACTGGACCAATTATTATATTTGATTAATCTCAAACTACCAGGGACAAAGTGGTTTTCTAAGCATTTTTATTAAGATTACTGAACCGATTTTAAAAACTCTTTCACATACGGGTAGTACACCATACGCAGTTGACATAGGCTACAGTTTACACAAACGATGTGCGTGAAAATAGCAAATTTTTATAGATATTCTAGTTTGAGATAAGAAATCTTCTGGGACTGGTATTAGAATTCGAGCGAAGTATCTTGGTGGACTAACGACAACCGTCAAGTCTCTTTATGAAATCGACCAGGATAACGGATACGACGGCAGTGGTGTACAAACGCCCATACCTCGAAAACACTAATACGTGCTCTGCTAATACTGTCTTGAAGTAATGAAATCCAGAATCTGAGTAATTACTGATCAAAGTCAAAATAGGCTTACATATTTGTTTTCGATCAATAATTATTAAGATTCTGGATATCTATTTATTAGTATTTCGTCACTAAATATGAGACTATTAGTCAGATTCGATTGGATTAGTCAGAATGATAAAATACTTTGTGGTTACTAAGATCTACGAAATATCAACATGTGTCAATAGTTTCAACGTTTTATTTCATTCTAAAATGACCTAAGGTTTTAAAAAATGGTCTTTCTAACAGCTATTGAGTAAACATACAGTGGCGCTGCTGGACTGACGTTAGCCCAACATCATCACAATGTTTCTTATTTGCCTTTCTAAACATAATTTTATCATTGAATAGGTACGTTATTCTCCTATAAACGGTTTTCTTTATTGTCTATATATATTTTTTTTAAATTTTGGTTGAATTAAATTTTCAAAATAGTTTTGTTTGTCTATAATATACAAATGTCTATAAATTAGACTTTTTTGTGCATATTCTAATTTAGTCAAATTTAATTTTATTTACAAAACTTCAGTAACGAAGCCCATTGATTCAATGTGCTAGTTAATTTAAGATGATAGATAGTGTATCAATATTTCTACAATAAAAAAATGTTCCTCTATTACTAATTCTTTCATCCATGGGAAGTTACATCATACGTGGTTGACTACAGCTATAATTTGGTGAAATCGCAGAAAAGTAGATAGTTTCTGAACATTTCTACAAATTATGTTGACCAAATTATTCCTCCTTTGCTAATAACAAAATATCTCCCCATAATCGAGGAACATTTAACTACCTAGTAACACTGATGATTTATTTGTTGTCCCTTACGGTGGCACGCCTAATAACCCTCTATAAGTACTTACTCTAAGCTCGAAATCTCCAGTGCTCACAGTACAAATATGGCGGCAATTTATGACGTCATAAATTTCCCTAGGGTACTGTAGCAGTGTACTGGCAGTCCATAACGGAACGGATTTTTCAGCAGTAAGACCCACAGGTAAGACCACTGCGCAGTGCTCGCAGTGTATATCGGAACATACCCTGAGATTCTCATTAATTGTGAATGTTATTGCCTTTCTTGTTGTTTTACCGTATTCCGTGATTTAATTTTTATTGTTTTATTGTTGTTTTCTTATAGTTTTGTTTTTGTTATTTTTTTGAAGTTGAGTTTTGATAAATGTGGACGATTCCGGTGCAGGTCCGAATGGCCTACAACAATTACCTCTGACATTTCAGGAAGTTTTTCCAATATCTTAATCAATAATCTAATAATATCTGAATAAATGTAATAATAAAAAATTCATTTTATTTACCTTTCTTTCCTGGGCATAAATATAAGTAAATTTTATTTTATTTATACACTTACGATTAGAATTTATCAAAACAACAGATAGATAGTTATAGTTCCATATTGGCTTGGGAGTAAAAGATGAATTTCGAAAATTCTAGCCTCATCGCAAAAGAAAATGGAAAATTACCCAACTCTTTCAGACTCCCTAACGTTCAAAGTTTCAACAAAACGTTAATCGTTAAGAGAGAAAAGCGTGTTAATTAACACGTTGGACGCTAATTTTACACCGCTAGCCATGTATCATTTTAGGACCTCTTTCTGGGAGCGACGAAAAAGTTTATATGAAAATTGACACCGCACCGTGAATACCCGAATAGATAAGTTACTTTATGCCGTGAATTACATTGACCTAAAAAATTTTTAAGTAGATTGAACCATCTTCGGTAGTTTTTTACTGTATTATACACACTTGTAAATAATATCTTTCTTTATCACATTCAGTTCTTTGGTTATTCTATAGAGATCTTCATCATAGTGGTTAGCAACACAAAAAACGGTCAACGGTCTGTTAGTATTTATGTGTGGTGAGAAATTTGTACCTTTATCATACTAAAAACAAACGAGGCTGGAGAATGCAAATAATGCGTATACGACTCTTGAAACACTTGTTATTATTGATAGCAATTGTGATGGCTGAATGTAAAATTTCATCCATAGAAAAAGCATATTCTAAGGGTGTTTCTGCATACACTGGGGAAAGATGGTCAGAATGTATTTCCCAATTTGAAGAGGCATTGCATTTATATAAACTTTATAGATTAATTATTGTCAACTGTAGACTCAAATGCAAATCACAGCCTTATCAAAGCATTTTAAATACTAATATAGAAGATTTGAAAATATATGAAAAAATTTTTATGAATAAAAATTGTTTACACAGTTGTCAAGAAAAAGACCTCCCTGTTGGTCATGAGGATATAAAACTGGATGAAAAAATTCTGACTTATATGCAGACCCGCAAGCCCTATGACTATTTACATGTGTGTTATTTTCAAATGTATGCATTACCTAAAGCTGCAAATTCAGCATACACTTACCTTGTTGCTAATCCTGAAGATGATAATATGAAAAAAAACCTTGAATATTACATTGATCAACCAGAAGTAGATGTAAGTGAAATTATAGATCTTCAAAGTGAAGATTATGAAGTTCTTTATAATCTAGGTTATAAGTCATATAAGCAAAATAACTGGGCTGAAACTATTGCTAATATGGAAGAAGTAATAACAAATTATATATCTTCTGAGAATATGTGTCGTGCTGAATGTGAAAGGCAACCAGAACAAGATGGATCGTCAGAATTTATTATCACAGTTTCTAATAATATTGCATCTCTATTACATTGTTACCAATATTGTCAGAAAAAACTATCTACTCTCCAGTATAAATCAGGAATTGAATTTCTTGCTGATGTTTTAAATTATTTACAGATATCTTATTATCACCTAGACAGATTTGATGATGCCGCAAAATGTGTTGCCACATACTTAGCTTTAATGCCTTTAGATGAAGACATGATAACAAATAAAGAAATCTATGAAACTGTTGTAGATAAAAAGTCATTCATAGAACGTTCTGATGTAATCCATTATTTTAAACGAGATGAATATGAAAAGAAACTTCTTAATTTATTTCATCAAGAAGATTATTATCATTCTGAATAGAAAGATTTTGGATAGAATATATTAAGAATAAATAATTGTTAACCAAATGTGATAACAAGTGCCATTTAGTACTAAAAGTATATTTCTTTTTTATACATAATTACTATGTTTGTATATTATATTATACATACTTTGTGCAATACACATAAGTGTAATTTAAATAATGTTTTTTTATTTCTTACATCACAAAGTATAATAATTCTTATTACCTACAGATGCACTTTACACCAAATGGACCTTGTGACCTTATATGCACTGTTTACTTAAATATCTTCTTTTACAGTCAGCATATCAGATCAGATTATACAAATCAGTCCTTTTTCTCCACTTGATTTTTAACCTTAATGCAGTAACGATAAAGTTGATAATCAATTGCAAAAATTTAACCTAACATGCTGCTGTGTACTTATTAGATGTTGAATTATATCTTATTAAAAGTACCTATTATGTTGTTATACCAACCAAATTAATAAAGAAAAATGTGCATCTTTTACAATGAACTTTTTTCATCTACAAAATAATCCCCAGGACAAGACGCCTGGGTTGGATCCCCCCCAATTCGCTACTGCCACAAAGTGTCAAATTTCCTCAATTGATTTCCAACTCTATAAGCAAAGCATTAAGGTTTAGAATAAAGTGGAGAAATTGTCATTTTTTATATTCTGACGTGGCATACATTTACTCTTTAGGTGTTAAATACATTTATTTTTGTAGGTAATGATCTAGTGTACGAACTCAGCTACACAATTGAATCGTAATTAATACTTAGGAACTAGATGTTTCGGAAAAAATAAGCAATCAAATTTTCGCTCTTTTTTAACCGACTTCAAAAAAGGAACTTTCTCGATTCTTCGCCGTTTATGAACCGATTTTTATGATTCTTTTCTATTTTATTACACAGCTTATGGGTCCCATGTGGTCTCGTGTAAATTTAATCGAATAGGGATGATGATTAATTTTTGTTTGTTTGTCCGTCAGGTAGAGTGTTAAAAAATATTAAACACGTATTTTTTTATTTTTTCGTAATCATAAAATTACGGCGTTACATTGAGATGAAATTTCGCATGACGTCACGTTAGGGTACGTTTTCTACTCAACTGTGACGTAGCGAGCCCCCACTCCTTAACTTTAATGCCTGTTATCTAAGCTATTTCTTGTTAATTTGAAGTAAAAAAAAATACGTATCTAATATTTTTCTATTGTCTGACTGACGGATAAAATAGAATTGCATTTCTTTTACCCAGTCATCATCCCTATTGTTTTTATAACAAAGCAAATGCCTTTCACCAACTTAGTAAATATCACCAAAATATTTGAGACGATCTAAGAAGACGACATGTATATATCAGAGACAAAACAAAAGATAACGTATTTAGCATTTTTTCAAAATTCATAATTATGGATGAATTTTTATGTTCAACATAAATTCTCTAAAATTTAAAACATTTTGGATATTATTCACTTAATAAGGATACCATATCTCTGAATTTTTGGTCTTTTAACGTTGCGGTCGGATTGTCAAAGGATTTTTAGAAATATTTAATATATTTTCATTTTCAAGATCTCTTTAATAAAAAAATATTAAGCATAAAATAATCGTGCTGACTTTGCGATGTGAAACGAGTAAGCGAGATCCCTAAAGATCCGCAGTATCAGAGATAAATCTCAAAATGCAACAAAATCTTAAGATTTTTCAATGGAAATTAGGCCTGTCCCCTGACTTTTGATTCTTTTATCTGGTAACCCAATATTTAATAGATGACGATATTATTTAAATCTGCCACTCTCACATAAATGTATGATACATTAGTTTAATAAAAACTACAACGTTTTAAGTGTAAAATAATGGTATGATGGATGATATACTTTGGCAGGGAGTGCTTAAACGCTCTGCAAAGGCAAACCAAAAATGTAGTAGAGTTTTATAAGAGACTATATATAAATAAATACTACATTTGCGTACAAGATGCACTATACAAATGCGTAGGCTGAATACTTATGCTTGTGAAGCTATGTCGTGCATCTGGTATTATTAAATAACATGGCGATATTATAAAAAAATTGACTGTCTAAAACGTTGATGTGTAGATTGACGTTTCGTTCGGCCTGTGATTGTACTCTGATTTACCGATGCATAAAATGTTTTTCCGACCATAGAGATGTTTGAATTTCTCGACCTTCGGACTGGAAATATGTAATTCTTTTAAAATTCAAACTTGGAGATCTTTATATTTTATTTTAATTAAACATAGATAAGCAGCTACAACCACGTTTTTACCAATTAATTGAAATTCCACATTTCACATAGCAATATTTTTACATTATATGTTTCAACATATAATACATTGGCAATACCATTTCTTTTTTCCACAATGGCGATACTTTCAACCCCAATCTCATCAGAGGGCGCTTTGTATAGCACCATTTTTGTTTTGTGTATTCTTTCTGTCAAGTGTCTTGTGCGAAGACAGTGCTTTAAAGAAAATTAGGCACAAATTAACTTTGGTTCGATAACTGTAACTGATTGATAAGGTAAGTTCCATATTTGATTATGCAAAATTTACGTAAATAGTAACACGCAATGAATTATAACATTGATTACATGCATAATCTACTTTGTTGCATTATTGGTGAGTACATTATTTTACTAACAAGTGATTAATGTTCAGCAGTAAGATATTAATATTATTTTGTATTGAGACTCAAATAAATGGCAAAGGATATATTAGGTAATTGAAATAATCTAAGATATAGATGATAAATTGGCAAAAGAATATTGATTGGTATGTTTTAAATGTTGCCATACTAATAAAATTTATACACCAAATCTTGAACCTATTTGTACATATTACATAAATTATACATATTTTAATTTGTATATTGTGTAACTAATTATTTAAGATTTTAAATAATGAATAATTTCAGGTACTTAATAACAAAGTTCACAAATACCTTTGAGGATTAATTTTAATGTTAAAAACACTATCAGTCAGTTGCACAAACGTGCATTAAGGTTTAATGACGCCTTTAAGTTCTAATGAATGTCAAATTTGTAAGGGTAATGTTGGTTGTCAAATTTTTATGGGTAATGGATGTTTGTGCAACTGGCTGTACTCATACCTAATAATAAAAATTACATTATGTTAATATTTATTTACAGAATAATGGATGTTGATGAGAAGTACAGCATTAAAAACTTATTGTTTTATCGTGCTATACCTCCATTCACAATAAATGAACCAATAGCTGGCTACAAACTGTTTGGATGTATAGATTGCGGGGACAGGTAATGATATTAATATTTAAAGTATTTAAAAAATTGTTATTATATATTACTGAAAATTCAGAATAATCATTAAATTAGAACGAGAGTATTGAACTCATACAACCAATTGCTCCTATTAATATAATATTAGTAGTTAAAGGTAGTCGATATTTTTTAATCAAAGGTTGCAACATCTTTTTTGTTAAAAATAAAGGTCTGATCAGACCTCTTTAGGTTTAATAAAAAATAAAAAAAAATATCCCGTTTCCATAGGTCTGTAGAAACAAAGTTTCACTATGCATCATACTGATTGGGTTTTACTATATATATTAATATATGTTTGTGTAAAGCTTGAGGTGGAGGGGGTACACATCTTATCAAATAGAGAAATCTAATTAATTATGTCAGTAGGTAATAGTTTTGTTGTAAGAACAAAGAAAGTGTATGGTTCTAAATTTAGCCAATATGAGATATTTTTTTCTCAGATACTTTATAGTTACTTTCCCTGTTAATATATATCATTAAAAACATTGTTAACCTTACTTTCTTGTTGAGTTGCTACTAATTGACAGTTTTCAATAAAAATAATGTGGATGTGAAAACTATAACTAAATGATCTGTATTATTTGTGTAACTCAATGCTGTTACCCCCAAAAAAATATGTTATTTTATTATCATAGGTATTTTATTTATTATTTATTATCAATAGTTATTTCAACAAAAAAGTTAACAAATTAAGAATCTTAGAATCAGTTACAAATTCACATGTATAGAATAGAGACTCAAAAACACACAAACCAACGTATCCAGTAATATAATTAAACAGATAAAAAATAGAATAATAAAAATAACAATAGAAGCCTGTGACACATTTTCCTGCACGGAGTAAAATGGCATTTAGCCTATAATTGGTGAAAGAAATGGCAATATGTATTGGCTTAAAAAAATGAAGATTCTTTCTTGGAATGTTGAGACTTAATATTGAGAGAAGCTTTGGGCAATCAATAGCGTTAGAGGTTATTTTTATTAAAAACATAATATCAGCAATTATTCGACGATTTATTTTCTTATAAATAAAACATACAAAAGAGTTAGCCTACTTTAGAACCTCCTCCTTTTTTTTAAATAGATTAAAATATAAAGGTTTGGCAAATGTAGTTTCAAGATTGTGTCCTTTTGTCATTGGTAAATGCAAACTGTTTAATAGCATGGCGAATCCTTAGGTTGAACGGCGTCATTCAACTGCGTGGCTAGCTGTGTAGTTGAATAATGAATCATTTGACATTTAAAATGACGAGTGACTGAAAATCTGCTTTATCGTTGAAGTATTATATGTCCCCGCCATTATGGCGTTTTGTTTGCAAAATGGCGTCAACAGTTCGTTTTTTCTTATCATTATCTTCCAAATTGTTTTGAGGTAAAAATATATGACGCATTAGGTACTTTCAAACATTTGCATAATATTGAATGATTGCCAAAATGATTTTAGGAAAAATCGGTCTACCACATGCAGTATTTAAATTAATTCAAAGGCAAATTCAAAATATTAATGATAAAATATATTCGGTAGGTTTACTACTTGATATGTCAAAAGCCTATGATAGATTATCTAACATTATATAGCTTTGCAAATTGTATAATTCGGGAGTGCGAGATCTAGCATACCATTGGTTTCTATCTTACCTTAATAATAAGGAAACAAACAGTAGAAGTTCTAAATTATGATAAAGAGAAAAACGAAATAAAAAAGTACAATCTATTCATTCATTAAATTACACAAATAGTAAAGTTTTTGTTGTGCCCGATTTTTATGATTTTAATGAAACCTATAAGAACTAATTAAATTTAATGACGAACTTGTAACTTTCATATTTTACACTATCAGTTCGGTACTGGTGAGCAAGATAAATTCTATAAAAAATGGATTGCATTAGCTCAAATTAATAGAAAATCAATAAAACCGTATTTATTTCAAAACTAGCGATTTGCTCAATAACTATATAAACTATTGCAATCGAAATTGAAATTACACAACATGGGAAACAAACTATATACAAAAGGCGCCCTTATCGCTAGATAGCAATCTCTTCCAGACAACCTATGGAGGAAAATAAATGATTTCATAATTGTCATTCATATTGGGGAGTTGGTGCAACAAAAACTGATAGTTATTGAAGCCACCTCTCTCTCTATAATGAGGAAGTATTAAAAAAAAAAAACATTAGTTCCCGAAATCAAACTAGATGTCTCTATGGTAAATTCTTGATTTCTCCATGACAACCCTTCCGGTTTTATTTCATGTTTAAAAGTAAATTAGTTTTCAAAACTCAGTAAACAACTCATATTCTATTTGTAATTTTTCGTATTTGTATTGATATCTAAGTTTTTAACTTTTCAAATTTCAGTTTTTTAATATGTTAGTTAAAAGGAATGGATATGACTGTCTTTGGTCCATCTAGTGGAAGTGTTTTTTAGTGCTTTCGTTTTTTTTAATACTTCCTCATTGTATTTTTATGACACCACAGATTGACTGATAATAAATTATATCTATTTTTGTAGGTTCGTACTGGAATCGAGTTACCAGGATCACATCAATCGCAAATCTGTAAAAATAAGTTACACCTGTCGTCGTTGTAGTGCATCTCAGAGAAAAATTTTCTATAATAGATGCAATTTGCTTTCACACATTAGATCACATTCTTTTAAAACTGCAACTATTAATGTATCAGATTTGAATATTGAACCACTGCCTCTAAAGTTCTTCAAAGTAAGTAACGCTACGGCGCCACAGCCACAAGTTGCCCAAAGTTCGTCTGAAAATACCAAAGAATGCATAAGCGAACGTACCGTTTGTGTTGAATGCAATAAAGATATTACTGTTGAGGGGTCTCCACACAAAGATCGTGTAAACCATTACATGAAGTATACAAATCGATTTCATTCATGTCCAGTTTGCTTATTAACATTGCCTACAATTTGCGCTCTTAAATCTCATCTACGCGTTCACCTCAAAAATCCACCATACTTCTGCCCCGAATGTGGAAATCAATTACCCAACAAAATTATTAATTACCCTTTTAGCCACAATTGCGAAGGTTTCAATATGATGAGAGCTACAGTTAGATTAGAATGCCCTGTTCCTAAATGCCAGTCCACTCTTTTTCATCCGCATGATTTTAAGAAACATCTGAAATTAGATCACATGAAAAAGGTTTTTAAATGTCCTTATTGTGTCGTAGCATGTTTTAGTGGAGTAACCATTAGCAAACATTTAGAGACTCATCAACCTCAGCAAATTAATAATATATTAATATTCCATCAATGTGAAATGTGTCCAGGCAGATTGGTAGTACAAAACCACTTGGAGAGTCACATTAATGCTCATATAAATGATAATGTTTACCCATGTTGGACATGTGGGACTCGATTAAAAAACATTCCTCTCCTTATTAACCATCACATCAACCAACATATCACATCTAACAATGGTATGGCGGAAGAACTCAAAAACGCGTTGAAAACTTCCTTAGAATGTAACAGTACTAAAGCTCTTCAAACAAAAATGTTTCGCGTTGTAAAGAGATGTGATCAATGTTTAAGAAGTTTTTCTTACAAATGTAATTTTGACGACATAAAAATTTTGCCTAATGCTTGTCCTTATAAATGTACCCCATCATCAAAATCATTATTGAGACAATCAGATACAGAAGCATCAACTAACATTGTATGTCCCTTGTGTCAAGAAAACATTGATTCAAAATGGGAGAATGTTAAGAAACATTTTAGTTTGCGTCACAAAAAGCACAAGTGTCTAGATGGTGAAGTGAAATTGATAAAAACTGATTTAATTACAAGAAGAAATAAGAATAGAATCAGAAAATCTGCTAAAAATAGCAGAGTCAGAAAAAGAAAACACGCTAATAACCACAAGCATAAAAATCCAACTATTACTGGAAATATAAGTCGAGAAGATACAACCATACCACAAGCCGAGTTTATTTGTATTAAATGTCGCCATGAATGTGAATCAAAAGAAGATTTGGAGGATCATATTCGAGATCACAGAGACCCTTGTATGGAATATCAATGCCTGGAATGTGGAGAATGTTTTATAGTAAAACCATCATTTTCTACTCATCTATTAATAAACCACGGAATATCTGATGTTGATGATTACATCGAGAAAAAAAAATGTTACAATGATGTTGCCTTTATTGTGAATCAAGATAAAGATGTTGATATGCCACTTGATGAAAATCAATGTAGAATATGTAGGGAAAAGTTTGATGACCCTGATGATTTAGAAAAACATTTTCGTGTGCATGGAATGGCTTTCTTGATGAAGAATTCTCAAAGTAAATCTGCCATTTCGTAATCAGTAACATGTGCGATTTTAAAATATGTGCCAGACATAATTTAAGATATACCTTAAAAAATATTCCGACGCACAGTTTTTGACTTTAATATACATATGTATAGATAAGAACTTAGTTGTTAGTTATATAAAATCTTACTTTGACATCTGTAACATGTTTATTTTTAAGTTTGTTATTCCCGCACCGTATATGAATAACGTGATCCTTTTTCTTCATTAATACAGGACGGGAAGGACAGATCATGAAATTCTTGTGACCTATGAATATTCTCTTTCTTGTATCGTGCGATAAACATATACACAAACTGCCGCGATACGATATCCAGACCTCTAGAAGTTGTTGCGATCCATTCCTTGAAAACCGTTAAATAACTTGATAACACGATTGGAATTTCTATATTTGAACACTGAACCTGCGGATTATCCTTTAATGGAATATTTATTTGTAATAGATGAATAGCTAGGTATTTGTAAATTTAACGTAATTCAAATAAGATTTCAAAATAGTTTTCAAGACGTTTACGACTAAGTAAACTACTGCGCAATGAAAATAATATTGTCGCCTAGCTCTCGAGTGGGAACGCTCTGTTAGGCAACTTAATTTTTATCAAATCTTATAGATTGACAGAAGAGCCAACACATCTGAGAAAGTAATATTTGGTCTGCCTGCATCTTAGAACCGACCTAATGTGTTTGCTTTGGTATATATATATATATATATATATATATTATATAAAGCAGCACACCAAAGCATATATATATATAGTAATAATATAAGTATCTTAAATAGATTTCAAGTAGCTTTGAAATTTATAAAAAGAAGGAACCGGAATAAGTGTACCATAAAATTTTTCTATAAAAATAATTATATATATATTGAGACATCAAAACGGCAGACATGCTGCGATCGCGTTTTGAAAGTCAATATTTATGGCTTTTGACTTCTAGGCAAGCTCAAAGGACCCCTCGAAGGGAATAGTGAACCCCTATTTCACCAACGTCAGGTGAAACATTATACCTGGGATTATTAATAGGTCTTTACCTATGAAATTGCCGTTCTGCTGTACTGGCCATTTCAAATAAAAATATTGTTTTGGCTGATAAATCTAATCTCAAATAAATTTTATTTAAAAAACATGGAATTCTTTTTTCTTAAATAGTAAGTGTTTTGTTTTCAACGCATTCGAACATTTTTAGTCGTCATGGATAAGTTAAATCCGAGTAAATATGGAGTATGAGAACCTGCCGTCGTGCCAGCAAAGCAGCACATGCGGCACACAACATCAACGACGTTTACAGAGCGAAGACTACAAATTAACGCACCACCCGTTATTGGTTTGTTCGCTTCCGTTCTGTAAATTTTGTCAAAAAAACCCCGTAGTCGTCCGAAGACTGGTCAACAATGACGAATTAAAGGCGATAGTGGAAGCTGATGAAACTCGATCTAGGACTGAATTATTACAGCACTTTACGACGTTAGCATCAAAACAACATTGGTCTATTTGCGTCAAACTGGCAAGGTAAAAAAGCTTGACAAATGAGTACCCTACGAACTCAATGATCGCCAGCGCGAAGTACGCGTCGAGACTAGCTTTGCGGAGTGCAAAGCTAGTCTCGACGCGACCACAGGCTTACAAATGAAGGAATTCTGAACAGCATTGTTACTTGTGACGAGAAATGGATCCTCTTCGATAATCTTAAACGCTCAGCTAAACGAAAACTTACCCCTAGAAAAGTGATGGTCTCTGTTTGGTGGACTAACGCAGGTGTAAATTCATCACAGCTTCTTACCAAATGGGACGAGTATTACTGCAGATGTGTACTGTGAAGAACTGAATACAATGATGGAGAAGCTAGCAACCAGATTTGGTCAATCGTTCGGCTCCACTGCTCCTGCACGACAACGCGCTGCCTCATACTGCAGAGCAGACGGTCTCCAAGCTACGAGCTGAGCTGGGGTTGGTTCCTCATCATCCGTCGTACTCCCCAGACCTTGCGCCTACAGACTTCTACTTTTTCCAGAATTGGGTAAGTTCTTGGCGGGAAAAAAATTCAATACCCGAGAGGCAGTACAAATGCCTTTGAAGAATTTGTTCAACAATAAGGGCATCAATAAGCTACCAATGCGTTGGCAAAGATGCATCGATTATTACTTTGATTAATATAAATAAAAAACAGCAAAAATAATATGCTTCATTTATTTCATGAAAAACGGCAATTTCATAGGTGAACGGTAATTTCAAGACCTAATATGAAATTTGCTACTATACTCTAAGTCTGCGGAATACTGGCTCTTAGGCTATTAGCTCGTACTTTTGAAACGACTAGATTAGCGACACGCTTATTTAACCACCTCTAGAAACGACTCAATAGGTAACTTATGAAATGAAAATGTTTTATTCAAGTAAGCTTGTTACAAGCACTTTTGAATCGTCCAAAAATATTTTTTCCCCTACCACTTGTTCAGGACGCCTTTTAGCTGACAAGAACAAGCGAAAGAAACTTACCAGCTTTTTATCATAAGTAATGACATTTACTTAATCATGTCATTACCAAAATAATACATATATTGAACATAAGAATAATAAATACTTGTTTCAAAGTCTGTAGGACATAGGTTGGTAAATACCTATAATTAATCGTTATCGAACAGAGCGAAGGCTATTAATTCCATGCATTGCGGTCTTTAAAATAATCATCAACTTTATAATAGCCTTTACTCATAAGTATATTCTTTACATGAATTTGAAATTTATTTATGGGTAGGTCAATTATATTTTGTGGAACTTTATTAAACATAGCAATACATTGACCCAGAAATGATCCTCTGGTTTTTTGAAGTCTTAAGCTTGGAACGACAAGTTTATTTTTATTTCTTGTGTTAAGATTATGAACACTAGTTTTCTTTTTGTGAAGGAATCGTAATGATACCCAATGTCAATTAGTCATTCAATAACCAAGCAATATTATGCCAAAAGGTTAGTTTCAGTCGTGAAAAATAAGTTTCCAAATTGCACAAAAACTAAAATTTACATCGTAATGAACATATTATGATTTTGAGTATGTGTGTCACGTGACTTGAAACATGACCCGCCATTGTAGCCACAGCAATATGACAATATGTCATAAATATACGCCTATTAATTATAAGCCGAATTCCTAGATGGCGCTGTTCTTAGTTCATTTATACCTGTTTTTATTTTGTAATCAATCGAACAATGACTTCATGAATACGACGCACAGCTTTACTGGGTATATAAAAAAAAATTAAGGCAATAAGACGTGTTTATCTTTCAGTAATATTGTTTTAAGACTTTTTAAAATTAAAATAAACAGTTACAATTATTATTTCAATTTAAAATATGAATGTCCAACGCATTTCCCTCGTCATATAGCCTCAAATTATATGATTTCAACTATTAAGTTCACCACCAAAATGAAGCTATATATCGTAGTATACATGTCGCAGTCATCTAGTTAAAACGGCCGTTCAATTCGGCGGTTAGCCGTTTATAATCTTTCCAACCATTGTAATATCTTTTTAACTAGAACGTAACTGTCCAGTGATTCGTATAAATAAACTTACAATTCGTGATATTAAAAATACATAAAGTATTTAATTATATGTATCTACCTTACTTATTCCCCAATACAAACTTTAAAAGTCTCTTTTTTTTTTTAAATACGAAAATTCATTTACTTAAAAAAACAGTTACGTACTATGGCAACTAGTGGTGAATCGAATGTATTCGTTGCAAATTGATAAATCGAAAGAAATCGTTTAGAAAAAATAATATTAAAAATAACTTGATTACAAATCAATTTGTGGGGTAATTTTATTAAAACATGCGTGCTAATGTGAGGCCTGATAACTGGGCAGGCGTCGTTGAAAAAACGAAAAGAGATATTTTCGGATTGGGATCGAGATGTTGCATTCGATAATTTTTGTACTAAACAATTCGTCAGTGATGATTCTATTTCATATGAAGAAGAATCAGACGATTTAATGTAATAAAATAATATTCAAATAATTAACTTGTTTTATTCCACGTACCTATAGATTTATCCCTACTGGTAGCGATAAATAAATGGAAATAAAAATCAAAGTATTCCATTGAGTGCAAATCGGTGGACATATGTGGAGTAACAGATTCCATATATCCCTAACGGTAGCCATAATTGGAAAAAAAATCCTAGTATCCCTACCAATGGGGATTTGTCAGTAGGGATATGTGGAATTGGGGGAAAATAAATTCGTTGTTTATCATGTTTCGAAATAGTAATAAACATACTAAAACAATCACAGTCAAATACATTGCGTACTCTCATTTTCAATAGATGGCTCTGTACCCGTTTGAATCACAGTATCTATTAAGAATTACAATTGATTATGAGTTTACGCTTAACCCCCTGGTATTATAGGTGTGTATGTTACCTACTTGGATTTGATCATACAGCTCTAGCAAATTAAATGTGTAAGAGAATTATCAATAACAGAAAATTTTATGTAATAAAAAGAAATATCAGTATCTTAGGAAAGCCTTACAAAAAAAAGAGATTAAATAAATTAAAATTGTCATTCAAATAATATTATTGAAGGCAAGTCTATAAACACAGTTCTACCTAACATCAGCACACAAAGCTCTTGACAATTTGCCTATGTTTAGTCATAAAGGCACATTTGGTTGCAGTTGTGGGAGATTTTTGTAATCTATATCATGAAATACATATTCAGTGCGATTTTCAATAGACAATAGTAGGGTTCCATTTCAGGAAGCCTGTTTCAGGGCAGGGCCTGTTCATATTCTTGTATCCTGCATGACCAGCAGTCAGTCAAAATGATGAAGCAGAATTTTAATGGATGTCCATAATGAAATTAATTTAAATACAAAGGATGATATGCAGAAGATCCTTTTAAAACCGAGCGGCAAGTTGGGCATTTTTTTTCTACTTTGAGTGATATTTCTAAACATTTCATACAAAAAACATGTCCGCATTTTGTAGACGCTAATGGATTTTGTCCAAGTGCATCCCAACAAATAGGACAATCTCCCCATCTTGATGGTAAATAAGATTTAGATGTATTGTCATCATCTTTGATTTGTTGTCCAGATAAATGGTGATTCTGTAAATTTTCAAAATTGATGTTTTAGACCAATATGAATAAAAAACTAAAATTATAAATAATAATATTGTACCTGAGATTATCTCATTAGTTTTTTGAAATGATTCATAATAGCTAAATTTTGTTAAAATTGATTAAAAATTAGGAAACATTGTTATGCTGACATAACAAAACTAGTGACATGAAATTAGCTTCATTGTGCTAATATTTATTTATTTAATACTTTATGCAATAATATACAAAGGGGGACTTAATGCCTTAGGCATTCTTTGCCAGTCAACCTTTAGGTGAAGTGGAGACTAATTAGTTTCACTAAATTAATTTATGCACGGTACATATTTATATGAAACTATTGTCACATAATTAATTATACCATGATTTACATGGCTAAATTAGTGTCTGAAATCATCTGCACATAATGTACATAATAGATAACAGTGTCCCGACAGATACCATTAATTTCATGCCATTAGGAACATTAATATTTCTTATTTATAATGCATTATAATTTTTGTATCGGTTACCTTATGAAAATTACTTACTTTATCAGTCTTGTTCAACGAACTTATCGTTTTTCTCGTACCATTTTTTTGTGAACTACTATATGTATCACAAATGATTAATGATTCATTAAATGATTCATCTGTATCTAGTTCGATAATTATATTTTGTAACGAGCGGTGCGGTACTAAACAAAATGAGTCCGTTAGGTCAATTATGTCGTCCATGTCGTTGCGATAGGTAATCCGCAATTACTGAGAAACTTGTGCTGTACTTTTTGTTTTGTCTGGGGTGCTGCAATATTCTTTTATTTTGTACGATTTATTCACAGTATACTGTAACTATTTAGCGTTATACTTTATAGCTGACGGTTTTTATTAAATCAACATAGAAACGCATACCAACTTACAGCTTCTTTCTTGAGAACTGTTGATGTGTTCTGTGGTTAAGAACTTGTCCCATAGATAATACATCAAATCATTGAGATCCTACAATGAGGAAGTATTAAAAAAAAAACATTAGTTCAGACGTAATAAAACTGTAAATTAAAATAAAACTGAACGTCTTTATATCTCAATATATTGTAAAGTTAATAAAGATAAGTAAAATAAATTTTCTTTTTTTATGGCCTTATAAATGTTGAATTTGCGAAGAAACACCCATGCATCGGATATTACGATAGAGTATACGTTTCGATATCTATATACGATTTGCATCGCCCACTCCTAATCGTTGCATTCTAATATACGCCTCGACGCCCCGAAGGTGTTTCTTCGAAAATTCAGCTATCGGTTTGATACATCAGTCATTGCTGTTCTTCAAAAATAATGAATCTTGACTGGTTATTTTAATTAAAAAAAATATATATATATATATATACTTAAATCAGATGTAAATATTTTTGAAGAACAATATTGACGGAAGTATCAAAGCGGAACTTCAAGATATTTCCGAAGAAAAATCCCCGCACTCCCGTCACCTACTGTATGGAACTTACTTTATTTTTTTTTAAATGATGGAGTTTTAAAAAAAAATTGGAAACTACAAAAATTTATGTAATTAAAAGGCAATACAAATGAGAAAGTATTTAAAAATAGAAAGCACCAAAAAAGCACCGCCACTAGATGGCGACTCTAGCAAAAGTTGATTTTTGCAGGAAATGAATGGACCAAAGATAGTCATTTCCGTTTCCGTAAATTTGCAAAGTTCGAAACTTAGATATCAATACAAATACGAAAAAGTACATATAGAATATGAGTTGTTTATTGAGTTTTGAAAAGTAATTTACTTTTAAATATGAAAGAAAACCGGAAAGGTTGTCATGGGGAAATCAAGAACGTACCGTAGCGACATCTAGTTTGATTTCGGGAACTAATTTTTTTTCAAATACTTCCTCATTTCTAAACAAAAGTTTATTAGAATATTTGTACTGCATTGACTTGTTATACAACGTTTTAAATATATATCATAAATGAAATATCGTTCATTACAATCACATCAAATTATCCCACACAAACTGGGAATTTGCTAAAATATATGTATAAAAAAACTGTTATGATATGACATATGCCCTAGGCTCTTTTGAGGTTTTGCGTATTATTTTGAAGTTATGAGACTTTCTCATTCTAAGGATCTTTATTCATTTACTTTACTTATGGCTCGAAGCCGAATCGATCGTGGATTTAAATTACATAGTACCAATGAAGCGCAATGTAATTCGGCCGACTTAGTGGAGATTCATAATATAAAATAACTTTTTCTGAATTCAATATATTTTTATTTATGAAGTAAATTGTGTGTGTTTATAGTATCGCGTGCACGTATATAAGTAGTTAGCGCGTTTGATTTGCGCTTGCTAAGATTAAGAGACGTTCGCAAAGGCTACGTTGGGATGGGTGATACATTTTTTTTATTTTGACTTTTTGCTCTCTTCTCTTCTGCTGGGTGTACCATTGGTTAGTGGATTTGATCTGCGAGTGTGCTATTGCGACTTTCCCAAGGTTGGTATGGGTGATATTTTTTTTTTCAATTTTTTTTGATCCAACTTCCGACACAAACAACACTAACGGTGTCTCTTTTCTTCTTATACGGTATATCAAAAATCTGAGGGTGGAAGAAGATTCATCCTCGGATACAGAGGCGTAGACTTGCTGCTCCAGTCTCGTCGTGGCCACGGTTGGTGCAACCCGGCCGAAACGGCAGCGCTGTTCAGTGTAAAAGTCGCGTCTAATACCTGTTATTATAAGTATGTAATAATGCAGCGCGATAGTTTAAAAGTGAATAAAATATTATTGTCGCTCTATTAGAAAGGGACAAATAGCCTCTGTACTTGATATCTCACTTAACTCGCTTTTTTAGCTTGGAGTACCAGTATTATGTATTATCTATAGGTAGTACGATATACTATAATGATTCAGTATTGACAGTTTATTTTTTGGGACAAAATTGTTCTGGGTGATTGCCGTCTGATACCTTACTTCTTCTTCTTCTATTTTAATGGCTATTTTGTGTTAACCAAAATCCTGCCAATTTCACGTAGGAAATCGATACCTTATCTGTAAATATACTCGGTACCTAGTTTGTGGTGCGGTCGGAGCGGATAGTGCATGAAGTGTTATACAAATTCATAAAAAGATATAGAAAATCCGTTGCGTGTCGTGCAACCGCGCGTGAGTGTTGATAAACTGGAAATGAACCAAAAAAGGTTACATAACGTTTGTCAAAGAGTAAAGTTATATAATTTTTATTAATTTTACTCTTAGCATTAATCCAATTCAAAAAGTAAAGATATTTATACTTTTTTAAGTTAATGAAAATCAATACGTAAATTATACATAGTATTTGCGTAATAAATAAAGATGTCTTATAATAATTCTGTGTTGATAGGAAATTGGAGCGAGGAAAGGCTGAAAAATGAGGTGGGAAAATCAAAAAACTGTATAATGTAACAGATTGGTTTGTAACTATGTTTTAATCGTTTACACACACGACCAGGCAATACTTCAACACAATCTACGATCTAATAGTAAGGCGATATCATAAAGGTCACTGATCACGTACTCAGTGCGTTACCCAAATTGCTATTGTTAATTTAAAAATAACGCGCATGCCCGGTATTCGGCTTGCAACGTCTGTATCTTTGGCAACACACATGTAAAATATGAATGATGAGGTAGCAATATTCACCTGCTGTGTCCGTATTCAGAGTCTTCCCGTAATATTTATAAGATCGTCCGTCTACCTACAAATAGTAAAAACAGAATTCAGATAGGAAAGTTTCGATAGGTAGTCACAAAACGCTGCTCTATAAAATGTCACTGATCACGTGATATTTGTGACGAAACGTGGCAGTTAATATGTCAAGACGACATAGCCTATTTATCAACTATTGATTTACGAAGCAAACAAGTAGTATTATAGAAGAGAAATTGGACTTATATTTTATTTTTTTGTATGTTTTATATGAGCTACAAATTGTATGTATAAATACAAATTTGCAAATTTCGAATAACATCTGTTTATCTGTGACGTCATATGCCGGTAAACAGAACCGACTTGACTAAGTAGCGACGACAATCAATGAGGAAGTATTAAAAAAAATGTATTAGTTCCAGAAATCAAACTAGATGTCGCTACGGTACGCTCGTGATTTCCCCATGAAAACCTCCAAGTTCATTCGTTTCCTACAAAAATCAACTTTTGCTAAAGTCGCCATCTAGTGGAGGTGCTTTTTAGTATTCTAAGAAACAAAACTATATTAGATTATTATCTAACAGGATGACCATTTAACGCAATTTATTTTTAATAGTGTCAATTACCTTATTATTTGTGAACGTAAGCAAAGAAAAATATTAAAATTAATTAGGAAAGCGAAAAAAACGCTTAATTCTTTTTTAATCATAACGCAATTATGGAAACATAGGTACTCTAACTAACTTCTAAATTAAAGAAAAGAATATAAGTATTTCATTTTCTATTGTTAAACAGCATGAATAAATGACAAATTTAATTTACGAGGAAATCTTGTGTTGAAATTATAAATATCTTTTTTATTGCATACCTACAGTTCTAAATCAAACAAATAAACAAAGTAGCCGTACCCATCCTCCTTAACCATCCGTAAGGAAGACCTGAGTGGGGACGTAAAAGGGCTGATGGTGATGATGATGCTGAGCCGTAGCAGTAGTCATCTAGCGAAAATAGCTAATGATGAAGTATTTTAAGAAAAAAAAAAAACATATTTACTGCCTTTTTACTATATAATTTCAGTTCGATATCATTTCAGTTTATTATTTAAACGGGTAGTTTTCACCCTTTAAAAATAAAAAGTGCAATTTGCGACTATTAGTCTAGTCAGATTTGAAGTGGAGAGTAAGACGAGCTTAATTCCAAAATTTCAGTCAAATCCATGCAGTTTTACAGAAATCGGAGTTAAGGCACAATTTTTAGGTTCAATAACTGGACTAAAAGATCGTTTACTTGAATGAGCTGTTTTTGCGCATTTTTAGGTATTATTCTCTATTTCATGTTACGTATAATTTATTTTAAAATATTTATCAAACAAAGCAAAGAGCGATATATGAATAATAAAAAATGTTGTTTCAGTACGAGTTCAAATTATTTTTGCGGAAGCGCGAGAGACGGGAGCTGTTACTTCAAAGATCACGGACGCTTTTCAGCAATTTGTTAAAAGAGGTTTGTTATTATTTATTAACAGTTACTTTAAGTGACAAGTATGAAAGCCTGCTAAAATGATTATAATTCTACATGACCATCACTAAGAAATACCGCCCCAGACCATCATCGACTCACCTTTATGTTCGGTTGTTTTGCAGACATTATAAACTTAATTTCTTTAAGAGAATCGAGGAGATTGAGTTTGACGAGTGTAACGACGTGGAAACGAGGTTTTGCGTCATGTGCAATAGTGGAAACAACTGAATATAGGTTGGCCAATAATAGTCCGGGTGGTATTTTGGTATGAAACTCGTACCGATCTCGTCGTTTACGACGTAGGTAGAATAAATGCCTCCCAATACATACAAGAGATCATACAATAACATAGTATGTAATGTGCTTAATTTTTTAGAGAAAACTTTATTAATAACGCTCGACAGCGCGAGAATTAACGTCGTATCGTCACTGATTACTTCAATGAGGTCGGTTTTGCAACTTTACCTTGGTCAGCCCAAAGCATATTTAATACCTTAACTTTATTGAATACGTCTGGGACAACTTAAAAATACAAAGTCGAAGAGCACAAAATCCAGATCTCACTACGATAATAGAGCTAAAAACTGCGGCAGTAGAGTAGAATGATATTTTCCAGTTAGACGTCCAAGACATCATGGACGCACTTTCAAACTGGCTTTACGAAGTCACCAAGAGTTCAGGACACAGAGAGGAACCATTCATTGTTAATAAAAAACAGTATTTCTTTCGTGCACATGCAATGGCTGATTTTTCGTAAAAAATTGTATTCAATTGTTTTGTTCACTTTATTAAGAGACAAAATCGAAAAGGAGGTCCTATGTTCGACGGCGATGTATGTTTTTTAAGTATGTTATATTAGGTCTTTACCTGTGAAATTGCCGTTCTGCCGTACTGGCTATTTAAATCAAAATATTGTTTTGGCTGATAATTCAAATTTCAAATTAATTTTGTTTTAAAAACATGGAATTCTTTTTCTAAAATCTTTATTAGTTAGTATTTTGCTTTCAATGCATTCGAACATTTTCTTCGTCATGGATAAGTTAAAAATTCAAGTAATTATGGAGTATGAGTAGGGGAGATGGTGGCAAGATGGAGTACTTAAGCTTTGAAGGTCAATAAAATAAAAAAATACATAATAAAATAATCATATTTATTTTTAAAATAACGACTTATTGTTACTATTCCAATATTTGGTGTCAGTAGGAACTTTTAATTACATATTTTAGAGAAAAAAATATGAATGAAAAAGAAGGCGTTTTGCCCCGCCTTGCCCCATGGTGCTGGTAAGATGGGATATCTTAAGGTAAGATGGGGTGATGAAAATGATCCCAAAGAAAGTTGATTACTTAGAGCTGGCAGAATTCACAGACGTGCATGGCTTCATCAACATCATTATCTATTCCTGTGCAGCTATTATGAGACCATCTTCCACATACTGAGCATGATATCCACCCTTCAATGGAAACAGAATATACTTCCGAACAATACACATATGGCCTGTCCCTCTCTTCTTCACTTTCATCTTCTGACGATGAAACTCTTCGTCTTTTAGCTGTTTTCGTTGTTCGACATTTCTATTTTTACGGAGAAAAAACAAAAACATCATTTTTCTCATTGGGGGGAAGAGGTACCCCAACTTGCCTACAGAGCCATTTTCTAGCAATAAAAACAAAAAAAAAATACCAGTCAACAAACTTAAGGAAACACAATGCCTACTTTATTATAGAATAGAAAAGTTTAAGCAACACTTCACCAGCTAGCGTTATTGAACAAATCACAGCAAAGTGTCAAACCCGAAGAAAATATGATAAGCAGTTTCCAGTAAAATACTTTTTTGACTGTTTTCGATATGTGTGCGCTTGCGAACCATCAATCGTCGGGTGACTGTTAAGTATCATGGTGGCGCATCGAACGATGAATAAACAAGTGTGATTGGTTACTTTGAACTGTGAATTTCGCTGGGTAACCGTCTTACCCGCTACCCCGTCTTACAACATTCTCCCCTACTTACCGTTGAGCCAGCAAAGCAGCACATGCGGCACGCAACATCAACGACGTTTACAGAGCGAACACTACAAACGTACACACCACCCGTTATTGGTTTACTCGCTTCTGTTCTGGAAATTGTGACCTGAATAATTTTCTCCGTGGACGTGCGAAAACTTCGGTCAACAATGACGAATTAAAGGCGATTGTGGCTCAATGATCGCCAACGCGAAGTCGAGACATGCCTTGCAATGCTGAACAGGCATACAAATACAGGAAATCTGAATCGAATTGTTACTTTTGACGAGAAATGAATCCTGTTCAACAACAAAGCTCAGCAATTTGGTTGGACCCTGGTTCAGCACTTAAACAATGCCCTAAATGACAACTTTCCCATAGAAAAGTGGTGGTCACCGTTTGGTAGTCTTACACAGGTGTAATTCACACAGCTTCTTACCAAAAGGGGCGAGCATTACTTTTTCTACTTCTACTTTTTCCAGAATTTGGATGACTTCTTTGAGGTCAAACAGGCAGTACAAAATGCCTTTGAAGAATTTGTTGTCTCCCGTCCAGTTGATTTCTTCAAGAAGGGCATCAGTAAACTACTAATGCGTTTGCAAAGATTGGATGGGTGATTACTTTGATTAAAAGAAATAAGAAATATAGGAAAAAAAATTTGCTTAATTTTTCATGAAAAACGGCAATTTCATAGGTAAAAACCGAATATGTCAAAACAAGTTTTTAAACAAATATGTAACTCCATGTATGTATGTAACATAATTCCATGTACAGTCAACAGAACGTTAGGCTATACAAAACTGTCAAACTCCGCTTGATTTTAAACCTTGATGTATTGAGTGCAAAATCACTTGGAAAATTTGAAATATTGAGGCAGTCTGAAACTCAGACGTGTACGTACTACAAATGAACAAAGTTTGTAAAATTTCAGAGGCCTCTTGCAATAAGTGGCACCTTTGTATTATATGGCTTCAACGTCCAATTAGTTGCTTCTGACATGCCAGGTACTTTTTCATTTCATATTTATGTAATGGCATTTCTGGTTTAACGTATTTCGGTGATCTCATTGTTCAATAAATTATTTTAAAGGTACGTTTCATTTACAACTTATCAACTTTTACAGTGAAGACCCTTGCTGGTGGGAAACCTCAGTACGGGCTAGCATTATCCAATCTTGTGACTGACCGTCAAGTTGATTATATGCAAAACATCAACGATGGATGTCTTATGACACTTTCGCCTATTACCACGCCTTGCTGTAGAAATACCTTCGTCATACAAAGGTATTCACGTCTTACCTACATCTATAGCAATAGAAGAATTGGAAAAATAAACACCTACTATAATAAACGTCAATAGATGGCGACTCTATTTTCGTCATATTTCTGTCAATTCTTTAGCGGAAACAGAAACATCAAAATGGACTAAAGCCAGTCATTTTCATTCCTTAACACGTAACATAAAATTATTTTTCGAAATATAGAAGTGTATTAAAAGAAACACAAAGAGATGTTAATATTACATATTCATTTGACAAATACCTAAAATAATAAAGTAATAGTTATATTAAGGAATTTATGAAAAAACATGCATATAAAATATTTATGGATCTTTAAATTTTGTGGTTTCAAATTAAAATCTTGGTTTACTTGTTGTATTTATTACAAATTTGTTACTGAAATCAAAATCAAAATAAGACAACTCATACTAGATGAGAAAAGCACCTCTCGTCACGGTGTTCTCTGTTATTTTATGCGCTGCTTTTATTTTCGTTAGTTTGCCCAACTTCCGATGGGTGGCAGCACGAGTTTCAAATATGGCAGTAATATATAATTTTTATGATATTTGCAGCACTGTGGATCCAAGTATACAGGGACAGAAAATGAATTATGGCGATGAGTTTCTATTAAAGGCTGAAAATTACGGCGAACCAGATGTAAGTAATACCGAACTGGTATTGAGAAGTCTATCTAAATTCCATTATCATCATTATTAAGTTTATTAATGTCCTCACATCTGGAGATAAAAGTAGAACTTCAATGGCGGTGCTGGGCAAAGTTCATATCGTAAGGACAATTAAAGAATTGATTATTTTCAATTGTGACCATTACAACTAACAATTGATAAACTGTTATTTTACAAAGGCAATTTTAAAAAGGTCAATGTCACAAGTTTGTCTTACAACATTGATGGTCTTCCACTAAGTTGTGTCGAACAGGCTTATGATTTAGATATATTCTTTGACTCAAAAGTGTCCTTCGGAGCACATTATAATAATGTATGCAACAAAGCAACTCACCTTTTGGGCTTCGTCTTGAGAGTAACTAAAGAATTAAGAAATCCCCGCAGCATTATTTATCTATTCAATTCTTTAGTTAGAAGAGTAATCTTGAATATGGATCAGTCAGGTTACCCTTCTATGACACTCATTCCAAACAAATGGAGAGTGTACAAGGGAAGTTCCTGTTGTGCCTATCCTATCGACGAGGTCTATCTCGTAAATTAAGATCTTACGACGAGAGATTGTCTAGGTTTAATGGTGCCCTGGAAGTTACCCTGGAAGGTAGACGAAAGCAAAGGGATTTGATCCATTTGAATAAATTATTCATTCTTATATTGAGTCACCATCGTTACTATCCTCCATAAATTTCAATAGTTCCTACGGAACGCGTAATCCGAAAACAGTTTCATGTTTTTTATAATCCAATCGTCCATATGTGCCGTCTTTACAATGAGATGAGTCAAACTAATCATGTCATAGATACATATATTCTATGGCAATGAATATTTATTCAAGAATAAAGTATTGTCACTATTTAATTCAACAAATATGTCATCATAATTAGCATTTACATAGCTGTTTCAAACTGTTTCCTATTTTTCAATATTCAACTTAAAATTTATTACCTTTAGTTGAAATGCTGCTTCACTTCAACCATGCTAGAGATAGATATTATTGGGTATAGTTGGATTTTCCAAGATAAGTAATAAGTTATGCTTTGTAATAATCATATCCTGTTTTGTATAATAATTACCTATTTATTTATTCTTTTGTTGTTCATTGAAGTAGTAGCAATAATAATTAATTTATTGTATTTTTTTGCGAATTGCATTTACAACCAACAATTTAAATGATTGGTGTAAAGGCCGTGAACTCGTGAATCGCGAATGTCTGCTACGGAACTAAAAACAAGATTCCAGAAAGCAATTTGGGCACATGTGAGTTACTTTAGTGATGGCGTACAATGTAGGCAACAGTATATATGAGATAATGGCTGCGTCAACATCGAAGCTTTACTATATGCAGATGGTCTAGCAACAGCAGTTTCGCCATATAAATCTAGGTGAAATTAGTTGCGTTATGCTTGTTTACATCGATGTCATAGTTGCAATATGCGAATAAACTACTTTAGTGTCGTTAAACTAATGCATGCATTGCAAAAGTGGATGTTTGCATGTGCAACTAACTGCTAGCGAAATTAAGGCGAGATTTAAATTTTATTCTACGACTATGCTAATATTTGCCAAATAAAAATCATTTTATAAGAATTAAACATATGATCAATAGCTTGCTAAAAATAGAAACAGAAATTTTAATATTTGTCTTAAAAATTGCAAAGATAAGGGTTTTTTTGAATCGATTTTATAACTAAAATTTTCATCTTAACTATAAAAAAATATATACAAAAATAGGTTTTGATATAATATAAAATATACAAGAAAAATATTTTATAACGGCATTTGATTTTTTCTGTGATTAAAAATCTATGAAAGCAAGGAGCACGTCTTTACTCTACGTATTTGTAAGGGAACGTAAGAGCTTTAATGCTTAATGCCATGAAACTAGTTTGACGCAACTACTTTCGTAATGTAAGTCCGCCTTATTGGCTACATTTTAACTTTTGGTAAAGGCGCCTCCGTTGTACGTTCGCTACACACCCGAAGCTGTGCCTGGACCTGCTGATCGTTTACCTATTCGCTTGAGCGCTAATCTGGATAGCAATTGTCGCTGGACGACTACGCCATTACTACCCGGTGATCGGCTAGAGGGCCTCGGCAATCCTGTGAAGGCAAGTTGCCATGTCAACTTATTATTAACTAGTTGTCGCCAGCGGCTTCGCCCGCGTGGTCCATAGGGAAATGTTAAGTGGGATAAAAAAGTATCTAATTATCTAAGTCAGCTAATACCCTATCTGTATACCAAATTTCATCAAAATCCGTTTATTAGTTTCGGCGTGAATGACCGACAAACATCCAAACTTTCACATTTATAATATTAATAGGATAATAGGATTTAAGCTTTATCGCATTTAAACACGATTTATCGCGTATCTGTAGTGCCTCGATTGTAGATAAATTTATTACTCCATCTCGACATTTTATTCTGTTTACAGAAGCTTTATGGGTTTGATATCGACGCTGGAAAGCTAACACGTAGTAACCCGCAAAACCAAAAGTGTTCTTCGGAGCAGAAAAATTGTTATTTCTTTTCGATAAATAATTCCTATAAACGTCCATGGTAACAAATAAGGTATTCCTTAGTCAATTTAAACAGAAATGAGATTTTCTTTTTTGGAAAAATATAAAGATTTTCCACTCCAAATGTCCATTTTGGTTTTGCGGGTTACTACGTGTTTACTTTCCAGCGTCCCAAATGTCCATTTTGGTTTTGCGGGTTACTACGTGTTTGCTTTCCAGCATCGAATATAAGAGTATGTATTGTACGGACCAAGACCAGAAATGGATATATGAAGTTATTATTCTATGATTGATATCTAAAATGTTTTGTTAATTTGGACACATGTCAACACCTAGGAAAAACATTGTATACTAGCTTGGAGTGCGTTTTGATCTATATGTACGTATTTTAAAGAGGAAATATTTGATTGTTTTTCTTGCATTAAAAGGCTCCAAAAATATTGGGCCGGATTTAAAAATTTCTTTCACCTATGGAAAGCTCATCGTACGCGGGTGTCATTCGCGGCTATAATTTACACGGATGAAGTCGAAAGTATTATACTCCTAGTAAGATAATAAATCGCTTTCGCGTTACGAAAATTTCGGTATATAATTATTGTTTTTGCAGACTGGGGCCAAATTGATAGTGAAAAATTGTGTAGCAGATAAAAGCTTGTGCGTTATGAACCAAAATTGGATGCAAACTTTCTTTGGGCCTGTAAGTTTTATATGCATATTACATACTGAAATAAAACTGATTATATAATTTACATTTCTTATAAGTTACTAGATAAGCGGCAAACGTTTATTACCATATAAATTTGTAGTGGACTACCCTTATCACTATAAATAGATAACATTCTATTCTCAGACTTACTGAATATACATACATATAGTATTTTATAAGAATCGTACGAGCCGTTACAGAGGAGTATGGTTACTGAAACTAGTGAAATATATATATTAGAGATACATAAGCAAAAATATTATTCTGTATTTTTTAGGCATGATTTGTTTTCAAAGCTGTTAAATTACATTTTGTATAATATTTAAAGACGTTACATTATATTTGCTGTTTTCTACGTATTTATAGTCAAAACCTTACCTTTGCGGTTATCAACAAGCTGATTAATGATGTACTTAACTGAAATTGCAGGAATGCGGTGTGACTTGCCGTAACTATATAGACATTCACAAGAGGCACACGGCGGAGAACATCTTCACTCTAGTGAGTGATATAGAAACTAAATCCAAGGACTAATGCATTTCGCTCTTGAGTGCCTTAAGTTCCTACGAAATTTTTGAGTACACTTTTAAGGACCTTACCCTAATTGATTTTTAAATAGTGAATTTCAAATATGTTTAGCTTACAGAGAGTTCTAGCGTTTAAAATTTTATTGTGTTGTCAAAATAAAGTATATTTGTTTGAAATTAATGCTTTTCGCTTTTCTATAAAAATTGAATAGTGTAGGTATAAATGAAAATATGCTCTTTGTGTGGGAGAGAATATCCTTTCCATTAGAAGACTGATTGTATGTTTCAATAGCTTCCGAGTTTTCCATCCTTTATGTTGGGATATACATTCGCACCTGAACCAGGATAAATGAAGCTGTTATTTGATACTAGTATCACATAAATCTGATCTAAAAACATCTCGAGTATGAAGGATATCCTTTGGCAGAACTATGTTATTGATATAAATATACTACAAAGTTATTTTTGTAAAATACCCCACGTCGAGTGTGATAATAGGAAAAATAAATTTATTTAGGTTGTTGATAACAAATCAATCCCGAGTCGAAGCAGGCGAATGAAATTAATTTTCTTTATACCTCGCAAACGAATGACAGGTGAAATCAGATTCTATTCGGTACGTACACTTCACATGATTGTAAAGTTTTTCAAATTATATTTTGATGTAATAACATAATTATGAATAGTTTTTATAGAGATAACCGTACCAAGAAAAATAATAAAAGTAAAATGAAAATATATGTTTCCTCATTCGTCAAATGATAGGACATCGTTTTCATATTATGTATTTCAAAAATCTTTTCTTTTGTCTCTTTCGGTGCGTTCTGTAAGGACTGATTTCCGTTTGCCATTATCGTCCTGGTATCGTCCGTCGTAGTTTAAGTTTTTTGCTTTATTAAATCTCTACTATATAGCTACTTTAGTTACATAACTATCTAAGTTCGTTTATATTAAATTAGTTTTGTTATTGTGACTCTATATTAATTTTAGACTGTGTTACGTCAAAAATAATGTGAATATAAGAGTTGAAAAATCCATGTAAGTATATTTCTATATGAAATATTAAGATGTTTAGTGATTTATCATGGCAAGGTTCTTTGTAACCCTTTTCCCGGAGGCACGTCAAAGGATCTGCTACATACCTCGTTAGTGGTGTAGCATCGTTGAAACTACCCCACAAAATTGTGTGCAACAGCCTGCTAAATCCTTCGTGCCTTTCTCCAAATGTAGCGAGTGTTTCACGGTGGCGGGTAGCGCTGCTAGGCGTCCGGATTAAGCCGGACAGTCAGATTTTTTGACAGCCTGATTCCGGTTTAATTGTTGTTTGAATTAAACCATTTGTACACTTGTCATACATTGATTTTCGCTCGTGTGTTTAATTAATTTTACCGTTTTGCTATTAATAGGTATGACGACTGGTAAAAAAAAAGAAATTGTATTTAGTCCGTCCGTCACACAATAGAAAAATATTTATAAATACTCATTTTTTTTGGCTTCAAATTAACAAGAAATGGTTTGTATAATAGGCATTATTATTTATATAATAGGCTGAAAAATAGGGGCGCGCTGTGTCACAGTTTTGTAGAAAATGTACAAAAGCGACACGTCATGTGACATTTCAACTCGATCTATCGCCGTAATTTAGTGACTACGCAAAAAATACGTGTTTAATATTCTTGAATAATCTGACGGATAAACTTAATAAAAAGTAGTCTCCCTCACTATTGTTGTTTTATAAGAATTAAAAAATTTATGGTTTTGATCTTAAAAAAACTCTTTGATTTATTGTAAGAAAATTGTAGTATTTTGTCCAGCTTTTCAGTTTTTAGAGCTGGTAACCCCAGTGGCGGGCAGGACTTAGAAACTACGCTCGTTTACCGCACCGTTACGGCGTAAGGTTTAATTAGAACATCGCTTTGATTAGGAATAGGTGAATTTGTCTCTTTGTTAATTTTAATATTATTGTATTATGGTTGTATAATAACTTATTTCGGCTAGACTTTGAAAATTTCGTGGTAAATTTGTCTCAAATGTAATTACAAAAATCTAAATTTGATATAATTTTATCAGTCTTGACAGTTCACAAGAACTTGTACAAGTCTTAGATTATAGGTATAATATCGTAAAAGTAAAATATGTATCAGTTTGCCAATCAATAGTTCGAGATCCTCTATCGACAAGAATCGGCAAGAATGCAATGACAACTTTTCAAACATCATTGCAAGAATGTCCATTTTTATTTAAAAATCAAAATAAATGAGACCATTGAGATTTGTATATATCTGTCAAGTGATATATATTTTTTAAATAAGTATGATTTTTATTTAGATATTATTAATATTTTGATTGATATCTATAGAAGAAAATATAAGTACAACTAAAAATACTGAAATTAAATATAATCGATTACAAACTTTCTTAAAAAAATGAGCGGGTGAATAGGCAAATCAAGGGAAAATATTTGTTACTTTTTTATGGAATAATTATTTTTTTCAGAAATAATTAATCAAAATTCTCTGCTATTGTTGTAAACCGGAGGTTCCAAAAAAAATTAAATCATTAAGTAGACCTATTAAGTAAATTTAATTAGTTTAAGAATTAGGAGGTAAGTTGTAGTATTTACTTTGAATTAAAGTGTAACTTATGTTTTAGAGTAGGTTTTAGCAAAACGTATTATGTCGGTATCGAATTAATTTGAATTAGTTCTCATACTAAAATTAGCTTAAGTAGATTTTTAGCACTACATATTGCGTTTATAACCAGTCAAATTTGTAGTAGATAAAAGATTCGTTTATAGTATTCTTACTATTCATTACTTCATTAAAATTTTTGTATATTTGTTAAAATTTTTCGCTTAAATTATTACTTTACTCGACTATACATATAGATACGAGTGTGAGACTGAAACTAATGGAGTGATTTTTAAAATTCTTTCAGTTTTCTCCATACGTGGGCTTCGATCAACAGTACGCGGGTAACATTTGTAAAAAATTACGCGGGCAAAGTTGTGGAAAAAGCTGGTGTTATATATTTACTCTTTGGTATGTCATGTTAGTTGAATGTCTGAGAAATGAAAGTAATCGTCATTTTAAAAAACAAAGATAATTTAAACACTAAATATTTACGTTAATATTTTGTTAGTCGATGTTTTTGAGATAATTCTACATAATAAAAGCACAGAAATGTCGAAGCTCGATGAAGACAAAGGAATAGTGTACTGCAATCGTGTCCTTATCGGTAATTGGTATGAAGCCTCCAAATTAGAGGAGGTGAGTTTGCTATTAACGCGTGAATGTGAACGAATGGATGGAACTATGAATTTATACTGTATTTGAATACGTTACAGTACAGATTGAATAAATTCTTAGAGCAAATGAAGAAAGGCGATCTGTTGTTGGCTAGATATCGTAAAATGGGGGAGAATCTTAATAAGCCGACTGTGCTTACTCAAGCGTCAGGTAGTATTGGTTTTGGGGCTAAAATATCTTTGCTGGCTCCTCATGTTCCAGGTAAGTGAACTACAAAATTTCTTTTACGACAAATTGTACCTATTCGGTCAGTAAGTTCACTCCACAACTGATCTAATTTCTTCGAGAGCGCATGGGGTTATTATTTATTTACATTTTCTTTCGCAGCATCGGATCCGCCAGTGGAAGGTAAAAAAGGTTTACTGTTAGGTGGAAGGATTAGTTCAAATGAAATTAATTACTCTCAAGCGTTAGAAGATGGCTGCTCTCTAGCAGGGTTTCCTGACTTGCAGCCGGCTGAGCGCAGTGCATTTGTAATCACCAGTGCTGATTACTGTAATCGTGACAACGAACCGTTGAAATACAATCAAGAATTTTTGTTAACACTTTCGTCGTCTGTGAATAAAACTGTTAGTATGGAATATGTATTTATTCAACCTATGTCACTGTTAGAGCATATACTACTAAGTTTATTGTTAGCGCTTCAAGTCTCTCCCTTTGTAGTTTTTCGCATTTATTGGTATCCAGACTGAACGGATTGATTTCGTGTTTTTTTTATAGTAATCTCAGATATATTATCTAACAATGTATCTATTTAAAAAAATATTTTTTTACATACAGTATTCACAATGACGATTTATATTTGACATAATATATGCTGAAATTGTGGGTAGTTTTGAATTTGAAGTAAACTTATCCTCAATTTCTTCCATTCTTTCTTTATTTATTTTTTTAGTTAATTAAAACATTTCCCAACAAAAAACAAAAGTTTTTATTGTAGCAAATTAACAATAAATCGGTTCGACTCGATAATATTCAATTTATGATTACATTATTTTTTTCCTATAGAAGTGTTTTTAGTTGATATTACGCCAGACCCTAGTTAGTTAGGTATCAGTTTGAGTTATAGAAAGTCAAAGATAAAATTGGCAAAATCATATCTGTAGGAGTCGTATAGTCCTAAGAGAGTTTTTTAGTAGTATGAAAAAGTAACTACACTCATACACTTTTATTCATAAAAAAGTGATTCAAAAGTAACATAAGTTATCTTTTTACATTAGCTCTATATGCCAGTGAAAGTCCCGTCAAAATCAGTAGAACGGTTCCAGATATTTGTAATATTAAAATGCATATGCATGTATGTAAAGTTTTGTTAAATACATTTTAATATTACAAACAGATACTCCAATTTTATTGATTTGTAGTACTGATATTGATAACAGTAAAAAAGTAAGTACAGAGGAAAATTTTGATTGTTTGTGTGTAGGGGAATAGAATCTTAAACTATTGGACTGATCGAAAAACTCGATTTACCAAAAAAAGAACGAGCAAAGCTCGGTCAACCAGGTTTTGATTTTTTTATCATTCTAACATAAATTGAATTTGCTAACAGACTTTCCCATTTATAATATTAGTAGGATATGAATTAAGTTTTCATCTGAGGCATAATTTGTATGCGTCTTATATCAAGTCGAGCACACGTCTAGTGCTAGCTTGGATCAGGGATTAATTTTTATAGGTTTTGCATTTTCAAGTACCT